CGCACTGAGTGAAACCAAAGGCGTACCCAACTCCCCCCGACCCTCATCCTCCTCCATAGCCTCCTCGAATCGATCCTCAATGAGTGAGGTCTCTGTATCTACCAGAGAGAGCTCTGAGGGATCATCCGAGGGGTCTACAGAGAGGGACAAAGGCTCGAGCAGAGCCGAGTTGCCCGGCACACCCGACCCAAGACTCGAACCTGAGTCGTGGAGGCGTGATGAGGAAGAGCCCGTGCTGGGATACCCCAATGGCAAGCAAAATGATCCCGTCGAATGGCCCGGCAAAGCCGGCGCAAGCGGGGGGACCAAATGCGATGTAGCAGAAACTACAGGGACTGAGCCTGCAAAACTGGCCCGAACTACTGACCCAGTCCCAAAGCCAAGGCTTGGGCTGGTAGTAGTTACTACAGCGGAGGGGTGGCCAGCAACCGAGACGAGACTCGGAGCCGACACCCCGACAGAAACCCCACACCAGAGCCTAAGCTAAGGTTGGGAGTACTGCCATACATTGATCCGGCACCCCGTTACCTGGCGGACGTAATCTCCTGACGGAGACCAGCCATCGCGTCAGACACGAGGGAGTGGACCGAATCCATTTGTCTCTGCAATAAATCAGATATTAATTCCAATGTTAACGGGTTAGCAACCGGGACATGCGGGGGTGAAGGTGTCTGTGATGTGGAGGGGATGGAAGGTGAAGGAGCCGAAGGCCCCGCACCCTTCGCCCGTTTAGGAGCAGTATCCCCCAAAAGAGAGGAAGCAGAAGCCTTCTTTTTCTTTGTTTTTTATCTTTGTCTTTAGGAGGCTCCTGACCCCAAATGTCCCCCCCCCCGCCTGAAGTAAGGACGTGTAGAACATGAAATCTGCACGTCTGGACTTGATGGTGCGTGGGGAGAAAGCCTGACACATAGAACAGCCTTGTTAGTCATGTGCTTCCTCCGTAAACAACGTAAAGCAAACCAGGTGACGATCCTGAGGCGACAAACTGCCGCTACAGGTAACACACCCTTTGGGCTGCAAAAAACAGAACCACGCTATGACTAATAGCAAGGACTGTTGGTATAATATAATATGCACACAACAAAACAGAACAAAATACAACGCACGGGCGATATTTTAACTGCTACAGCAAAGCTATTAATTACTAGCACAAAGCCGCAATAGCGAAGCGTAATTGTGTACATAGGTGACAAAGAGCATGTGAGCGACACGTAAACGCGCCACAAAATCACTCAAGCAAAACTTACCTAAAGCCTGAAAAAAGGAGGAATTTAGGCAAGTATAACATAATGAAATATCAATACCCTTACGACCCGACTACAAGGCTTTCTGAAGCCAGCAGAAGGAAAGCAAAAGGGACCCCGCGGTCCGCCATCTTGCCTGCCACATGGCTGGTGACAGCGAACACGCCGGTAAAGTTACAACAAATCATGAATGAAAAAAGTCATACGAAAGATTCCAGCTAACGCCCGTGCGAAAAGAAGGAACCATACATACAGGATTTGACTCTTTCTCACTCATCTTAAGCGTAGAACTTCGCGAAGACGTGTCTTCTGGACCATGCACGACCTACTCGGTCAACGACAGCATGAAAAGTGAGGTACGAGGTACACAGCCAGAGTTACCTGCTCTTGGCTGTAGGGGGCCCTCTGCGGGGCCCTGTAGGGGTGGTCTCACCAGACTTAACGAGAGTTTTTGTTGGGTAAAATATTTTATTGAAATATTGTTACAACTGTCGTAGGCTTTTAAAATGGACATTTTAATGCTTATATGTACCCCAAGGAGGACTTCTTCTGAAAAGAATCTCTAGCTGATATGAACTGTTTATTTTGGTATGCTGTTCATCAACAGTGTCTTCTTCTGGGTTTAACACAGAATGCTTGTGCCTACATTTACTTCCAAATTTACATGATCCTTTTGAAAATATTTACATATATTTTTGTCGATCGTTAGTGTGACCCATTGCTTCGGGTTTCGAGGGCAGGTTTAAGGATCTGATTCAGGGATTCAAGATCAAGATAAAGAATCCATATATTGTTTGATATCCTTTCTTCAAACTTATCCTCGTAGATAGACTGTAAGGCTGTCATCTCCTCATTGCGAGCGTCCAGTATCTCCTGCCACTCCTCTGACGTCTGCTCACTGTCCTGGGTAGCGTCCACTTTCAGCAGATTGAAACACTCACACAGTAAATGCTCCAGAGAGGCTCCTATATCCTCATCACATGCTTTCAATGCCTCAGTACACCGTTCCTTATCAAACCCATATCTGCAAAAGCAAGATCCGGCTGTATCAAGGCATCACCCCATACAGCGACAATAATGTTGGACTTTGGTTACTGATTATTTCAATTCCAAATGTTCCTGCTGGTGCAGGGTTCCAAGACTTCTCAGATTTATGCTGGTTGCTATATTGGTCTATGAACTAACTAGTAACATGTTCCTAGTAACAGAATGCCAATTCCAGTCCCTACTGCAGTACCAAGATCAAACATTCTAAGATGCTTTGCTAAAAAGATCAAAGATCTAATTCGACCATATTATTTGTGCAAGCATCCTCATGCTTTAACTATAATAGTTCAGGGCAAAACTGTACCTTATCACACTATACACAGGGGTAGAATGAACTGTATTTCTTAATTAATCAAAAATCTCCAGCCATTTTATTAATAAATGAAATAACCTCCTGAACAAGCACATTGTTCCATATTGGAAGTAGGGGTATTTATGCACATTACAAACCTTGCAAGTTTCTGAAGTCCAAACTGATTTATAGTCTTAGGAGCCTTCGTTTTCTTTGATGTATCTCCACCATCTTGGAACTGACCATAGAAAGCGAAGCTGCAGCCATCTTGGATCTGCAGGGGCTGCTGCGTGACCCAGTACTGATGATCATCTCTGGTATCCAGCTCATCATACTCATCCTTTCTGCAACACCACAGTGACATAAGCCATCTGGCAGCACTCCGTGAAACAGGAAACCATTCATTGGGAGAATATGATCATCTTGTTTTCAGAAGATTAACAAGGTTGCAGGTAATAATAATCATGAGGGAGTGGTGGGGTAGTCTAGTGGTTCAAGTGTTTGCTTAGTCAAGCCGAAGATCTGGGTTCAGTTCCCCACATTGGGACAATGTGTGAATCCTATATCTGGTGTTCCCCGCTGTGATATTGCTGGAATGTTGCTAAAACTGGCATATAAATCCTTATTCCCTGATAATAAAGACTCTATATTAACTAAACAAACATAATCAAGCCTTTATTATGTATTTAAAGCAACAAAAACATTTGTCAAAAACGAACACAAACTGTTCACGAAACATTTAATCATTGTGTCGATTATCAAATTAAAATGTGCGACAATGTTCTTAATCTTACTCAGGCATGTCCAGTTCTTCGCCATGCAGGTCTCGCAACATGTCTCGTACCATTTCCTGGTTCTCTGTGCTCATCTGCAGATGCTGCATTGTGACCTTGACCTGTGGCCCATTGTGACGGCGCTTTGGGGCTGTGTATCTGAATTTAGTCAACTAACACATTATCATGTTCACATTAAGTTTGACAATGGAGATCCAAATAAGATTCTGAAGATGATATTGATTATATGATATTAAGCGAGGGTAGTTTGCTTGTGCATAGGGCTTTGCATTGGTAAGCAAAGATGACATGATTTTCATAATCATGACAATCAAACCTAATGTATATCAAAGATAGTGTTGGGAATTGGTTGAAATCTCATAATTGATGATGGGTACATTACAACCAATCAATCATTGAAAATAATTGGTTAGCGTCATTTATCAAATGTTCCTGTTATGTTTGCTAATGTACACAAAAAATAAAGCAAAAAACATGTAGTCTTTCAGTTTTTTTGCAAATTGCACAAAATGCAGGATGACTAGTATGTTAGGAACATAAATTTCCTGGAGTCTTTAAGTTAAATTCAATCCTGACTTGGAATGAGCTTGTAGTGCTTATGAAATGGGAATTTAATGACACAGACAACACCAACCTTTTGAAAAATAATCTTGATGCAAACATGTGTGCCAAAATTGTTTGTGTTCAATTATGAGAAAACAAGGTCAATTGCTTGGTCGTATATATAGTCACTGCCACCAATCTTTGATCATTTCAATTAATGAACCACCACTATTAAAAAATAACCATATTTCTAAGGCTCCAAATAGCCACAAAATGATATCAACAGGAGACATAAATCTACCTAAAGGCAACCAACCACAGTATTAACTGGAGTATATATCAAGCAGGTGGTGAGCAAATACATTTCTCTTATTTTCAATATTTAACAATTTTTCACCATGTCTACTTTGAAGAGTTTGTCATTTCATAAATCCTCTGTGCACCTAGAAATTATGTTTGGCAATAGTATGCTATTGTTACCCTCTATCATAATAATCATCATCATCAAGAGGCAATCCATCCAGGGGGTGGTCTTCCCAGTCATATTTATCATCAAGGCCCTTCCTCGTGAAACCCGATCCACCTCCTCGAGAACCTCCACGCTGACTTTCTTGCTGGCCTCGGCCACGCCCCCCTCTTCCTCTCTGTCCACGCCCTCTCGTAAATCTTCCTCCTCCTCTGTTTGGGCGTCCACGCCTCTTAACTGACCGGCCCTCCATTAGAACTAAAATATATGTCCTGTTGAATATTGTGTTTCTGTTTCTGGCAATTCATTACAGGAACAGGGATATGGTCTGAATAATTGAAGAAATTAGCAAAAGCTTCAGAAAAATATCATAGTTGTAAGATGTAGTCACAGGAAGACAAGTTTGACTGTTAATTACATCCATAAATTGTCAGTCACTTAGGAACACCTATTAATACAACATAAAGATATCACAATGATAATGACCTGAAAAGAAGATATTGGTGACATTTCATAAATATTTTTAATCATGTTTACCTTTACCAGAGATTAGTTACTTACAGTCATCTCTCAGTGCTGACTGAATTACTCACACCTCAATGATTCTGGCATACCTGTTTCCTTTCAAAGTCATCCTTCATCAGTCTGTTCTTCTTGAATAGTTCTGTTTTGTTTACCCTCCTTGGGACGACATCCTTCCTTCCATATTTCTGTGTTGGAATGACTTCCTCCACTACAATGTTCTTCTGTCCTTCCTTCTCCATCATCTCAATCATCTGCTCCATCTGCTCATCATCTTCATCATCATCATCTGCATCAGCAGACGTGTCAGTGTTGCCCTCTGCAAGATGGCGATACCGATTCCGGGATATGATCGCCTTTGGCACACTGAACTCCAGTGGGGGTTGTTCCACCAGACTTTGCAACACTCCATCATCTTCCAACAGACTCAACAAGGTAAATATCACAGGTTCATGGTGCTCGGAAAGACTTTTGGCTTCTTCTATCAAGAACCGTGTTATATGTAGACAGCTGTGAGCCGAGAGGAAAGGGTGGGAGGAGGAGAAGGCTAAAATTGGGGGTTCATTGGGGTATTTGTTCCCAGGGGGAAACCGCACCTCTAGCTGATATGAACTGTTTATTTTGGTATGCTGTTCATCAACAGTGTCTTCATCTGGGTTTAACACAGAATGCTTGTGCCTACATTTACTTCCAAATTTACATGATCCTTTTTTGAAAATATTTACATATATTTTTGTCGTATCGTTGTGTGACCGATTGCTTCGGTTTCGAGGGTGCAGGTTTAAGGATCTGATTCAGGGATTCAAGATCAAGATAAAGAATCCATATATTGTTTGATATCCTTTCTTCAAACTTATCCTCGTAGATAGACTGTAAGGCTGTCATCTCCTCATTGCGAGCGTCCAGTATCTCCTGCCACTCCTCTGACGTCTGCTCACTGTCCTGGGTAGCGTCCACTTTCAGCAGATTGAAACACTCACACAGTAAATGCTCCAGAGAGGCTCCTATATCCTCATCACATGCTTTCAATGCCTCAGTACACCGTTCCTTATCAAACCCATATCTGCAAAAGCAAGATCCCGCTGTATCAAGGCATCACCCCATACAGCGACAATAATGTTGGACTTTGGTTACTGATTATTTCAATTCCAAATGTTCCTGCTGGTGCAGGGTTCCAAGACTTCTCAGATTTATGCTGGTTGCTATATTGGTCTATGAACTAACTAGTAACATGTTCCTACTAACAGAATGCCAATTCCAGTCTCTACTGCAGTACCGCATCAAACAGTCTAAGATGCTTTGCTAAAAGATCAAAGACGACGACCATATTATTTGTGCAAGCATCCTCATGCTTTAACTATTATAGTTCAGGGCAAAACTGTACCTTATCACACTATACACAGGGGTAGAATGAACTGTATTTCTTAATTAATCAAAAATCTCCAGCCATTTTATTAATAAATGAAATAACCTCCCTAGGAGCAAAGCACATTGTTCCATATTGGGAGTAGGGTTAGTTATGCACATTACAAACCTTGCAAGTTTCTGAAGTCCAAACTGATTTATAGTCTTAGGAGCCTTCGTTTTCTTTGATGTATCTCCACCATCTTGGAACTGACCATAGAAAGCGAAGCTGCAGCCATCTTGGATCTGCAGGGGCTGCTGCGTGACCCAGTACTGATGATCATCTCTGGTATCCAGCTCATCATACTCATCCTTTCTGCAACATCACAGTGACATAAGCCATCTGGCAGCACTCAGTGAAACAGGAAACCATTAATTGGGAGAATATGATCATCTTGTTTTCAGAAGATTAACAAGGTTGCAGGTATTAATAATCATGAGGGAGTGGTGGGGTAGTCTAGTGGTTCAAGTGTTTGCTTAGTCAAGGCGAAGATCTGGGTTCAGTTCCCCACATGGGGACAATGTGTGAATCCTATTTCTGGTGTTCCCCGCTGTGATATTGCTGGAATGTTGCTAAAACTGGCATATAAATCCTTATTCCCTGATAATAAAGACTCTATATTAACTAAACAAACATAATCAAGCCTTTATTATGTGTTTAAAGCAACAAAAACATTTGTCAAAAACGAACACAAACTGTTCACGAAACATTTAATCATTGTGTCGATTATCAAATTAAAATGTGCGACAATGTTCTTAATCTTACTCAGGCATGTCCAGTTCTTCACCATGCAGGTCTCGCAACATGTCTCGTACCATTTCCTGGTTCTCTGTGCTCATCTGCAGATGCTGCATTGTGACCTTGACCTGTGGCCCATTGTGACGGCGCTTTGGGGCTGTGTATCTGAATTTAGTCAACTAACACATTTATCATGTTCACATTAAGTTTGACAATGGAGGTCCAAATAAGATTCTGAAGATGATATTGTTTATAAGACATTAAGCGAGGGTAGTTTGCTTGTGCATAGTGCTTTGCATTGGTAAGCAAAGATGATATGATTTTCATAATCATGACAATCAAACCTAACGTATATCAAAGATAGTGTTGGGAATTGGTTTAAATCTCATAATTGATGATGGGTACATTACAACCAATCAATCATCGAAAATAATTGGTTAGCGTCATTTATCAAATGTTCCTGTTATGTTTGCTAATGTACACAAAAAATAAAGCAAAAAACATGTAGTCTTTCAGGGTTTTTTGCTTGCACAAAATGCAGGATGACTAGTATGTTAGGAACATAAATTTCCTGGAGTCTTTAAGTTAAATTCAATCCTGACTTGGAATGAGCTTGTAGTGCTTATGAAATGTGAATTTAATGACACTGACAACACCAACCTTGTGAAAAATATTCTTGATGCAAACATGTGTGCCAAAATTGTTTGTGTTTGATTATGAGAAAAGAAGGTCAATTGCTTGGTCATATATATAGTCACTGCCACCAATCTTCGATCATTTCAATAAATGAACCACCACTATTAAAAAATAACCATATTTCTAAGGCTCCAAATAGCCACAAAATGATATCAACAGGAGACATAAATCTACCTAAAGGCAACCAACCACGGTATTAACTGGAGTACATGTATATATCAAGCAGGTGGTGAGCAAAAACATTTCTCTTATTTTCAATATTTAACAATTTTTCACCATGTCTACTTTGAAGCGTTTGTCATTTCATAAATCCTCTGTGCACATAGAAATTATGCTTGGCAATAGTATGCTATTGTTACCCTCTATCATAATAATCTTCATCATCAAGAGGCAATCCATCCAGGGGGTGGTCTTCCCAGTCATATTTATCATCAAGGCCCTTCCTCGTGAAACCCGATCCACCTCCTCGAGAACCTCCACGCTGACTTTCTTGCTGGCCTCGGCCACGCCCCTCTTCCTCTCTGTCCACGCCCTCTTGTAAATCTTCCTCCTCCTCTGTTTGGGCGTCCACGCCTCTTAACTGACCGGCCCTCCATTAGAACTAAAATATATGTCCTGTTGAATATTGTGTTTCTGTTTCTGGCAATTCATTACAGGAACAGGGATATGGTCTGAATAATTGAAGAAATTAGCAAAAGCTTCAGAAAAATATCATAGTTGTAAGATGTAGTCATAGGAAGACAAGTTTGACTGTTAATTACAACTCTTGCAAGATTTGAATTTACCAGGAATACAAAATTAACAGTAAATGTATACATAAAGAAAATAATGCTGAAAGGATGAATGAGTACTTGAACACAAGTATATATCGTATAATGGGTGCAACTATAGAATTTGTCCACCAGCTATAAAATAGAATATAAGGCACGCAAATAGTTAAATGAACTTCAGCTGTAAAATATGCATACACTGCAGATATTTTACGTTTGATTAGATTTCCCAAATACATGAATTATTTTGAAACACGAATCAGCAAACTTTGTTTTCATTTGTTAGCATACAGCATATGTTTGATGGCCATTCTCTTTGTACGGTTCAAACATATGGTTATTCAAATCATCTTTGGACACAGAAATGCTCAGATTAACGGTTTTCTTTATGCCATGATCCTGTTATCATCTAATTCCAGATATACTCATGAACTCGATCATGTGTGAAGACTGAACAAGTGCTGAAACAAGCCAAAGAGGTGACCCTATACCATTTAGCCCGTCATTTTTAATGTATCTGCAGACATGTGTTAATTATCATGCTCATCATTTTAACAAGTTCAGCTTCAGTGTGATGTTATTCTGCATGCATCATGTTCACATTATAGATTGAAACTTGTTTCTCCACATACAGAGTTGATAGTGAGATAAACAATTACTGAAGACACCAGCTGATAAAAGCTTGACATGGGGTAAAAGAAAACGTTTTGGTTCAGTTGCATTCTCCCAAAACATTAGAGGCTACAGAGATTCAAACAGTGTATAAGAAGTTATTCATTTCACTAGACACGCTTATTTGAACGGTGTTGCCTCCCAACGCTTACTGCTAACAACAAGACATCTGCAAAATATTATCAGACCTGTCAAATGTTGGTTGGTTGTGCAATATTCACAGAGAAAAAAACTGACGCAAATATTCGATAATAGGACTTGCCATTACTGTATAATGACTAGCAAGGATTTATAGTCCTAATTCTAAGAAACGTGTTTCGTAGAATGGTAATTATAGATCACCTGTGTACTTTCTGTCTGTCACTACATATCCACATGTGGCAGTCAAACCGGAAGTTTACGTCTGCCTCGGGCTGCATACAAATATGCTTCCAAACATTTTCCGAAATGCGGTTCATCATTAATAAGATTTTTGTAATTCCTAATAAACACACGTTGTACATGATTGACACGTCTTTATTTTCGATAACTAAATTTTGATGAAATAGAAAGATTCAGGAAATAATTTGTGAATATAGGGACTTCAATATGATTTGACAACATTGCTATGTCAAGAATTATATACTACAGTAGATGTTTCACTGTGTTTATCAGTCAAAATTATAGAACACTGGTTGATTTTTCTCTGCCGCTTGCTACAGGTTTTCAGTATCAAAAAGTATAGTTTGTGTCAGTTCTCATCCTGTGGCTGTAATCGTGAATACTGACCTGAAACGTGTATATCATATCTGTTTCACAATAGTATTCCCAGAAATTATTGAGAAAATTGTTTAGGCAAATACCTCATACATGTATATAAACTATAAAAATGTTACTTGAATGAATGTGTTGAGATATGATTCTCTTACAGTCTAAGTGTCTTTTCAGTACTTTGTGAGGCCTCCCTGTCCTGCAGTACACGACTTAATGCGCCTAGGTACACTACCGATCAAAGTTTGTAGGAAATCGTGCGACAGCTTATCCCAATATTCGACCTCTTCTTTCTTCATATCCTCAATATTTCTAAGTCGTTTTTGGTTTATGCTGTCTTTTATTAGTCCCAACACATTCTAAATAGGGTGAAGATCTGGGTTGTAGCTGGGCCAGTCCAAAACTTGAACATTTTCTTCCGACAAGCAATTTTTTGTGTAGACCGAAGTGTGTTTTGGGTCGTTATCATGCTGGAAAATCCAATTATCTTCCAAACATCTCATTGATGTAAACGCAGTGTTACAACACATCTTTATTTCACATTTACCTTTGTCATACTCTTGCTTGATAACAGTATAAGGATCCACAACGAAACCTAGCATTATATAGTGAGTGAGTGAGTTTAGTTTTACGCCACACTCAGCAATATTACGTACAGCTATATGTCGGCGGTCTTTAAATAATAGAGTCTGGACCAGACAATCTAGCGATCAATAGCATGAGCATCCATCTACCATAGGCGGATCCAGAAGGGGGAGGGGATGCAGGGGTGCGCATCCCTCCTTTAGTCCTGAAAGTTACCACTGAAACTCTCGTGAAAATGAAGGGTGCACACACACACCCTTCTCAATAGTGTGCAAACCACCAACCCACCCACCCACCTCCCCACTCCCTCTCTCAAAAAGCTGTATCCGCCCCTGTCTACGCAATTGGGATACGATGACATGTTCCCAGATCCCGTTAGTCGCCTCTTACGACAAACATGGGTTACTGGAGACCAATTCTAACCAGGATCTTCACGGGTAGGTCTTGAAGAGGAGAAGTCACACAAAATAGGAAATAATAGCAGTGTACACAGTTATTTTAGAGTAGCTTTGAGAAGGCAATTTGGAAAAGATGAGTTTTTAATGTTGTTCTTAATGAGAACTCTGATGGTAGTGATCTCAAGGAAACTGGCAGTTAATTCCAAAGCGTTGGAGCTGCTGCTGCAAAGGTTCTCTGTCCCATGTTAGGTTGTGTCAGACTGAAGTTGTCCATGGATCGAAGACAGCGTGCTGGAACATGTTGGCTGACAAGGTTTCTGAGGTATATGGTCTCTGGTACTGGCATATGTGAATGAAATGATCATACCTGTTGGGAGTAGGTGGTGTGATCTAATGGGTTTTAATGGTTGGTGTGGTAAGATACGGTGGTGTACAATGTTGGTAAAGTGGAAAACACCTCTGTTGGCCAGACATGCACAATTCTTCCTGGTATGATTCTGATGTCTCAACTTGACGCATGTTGTTCCACTCATCAGTAAGAGCAGCACCCAGAACACTGAGAGTGATGGGTGGATTTTGACATTGACACACACATCAGCCAATGTTCCAGACACAGGAAGTGGGGAAAGGTCATGACTGAGTACTGGGCATGGCTTGACATGGATGTTTTGCTGTTGGAGGATTTAGGTCACAGTCCTGGCACAATGAGCATGTGTACATATTCATCTTGAAACAGGCGTGTAGCAAGCTAATACTTCGTGTGAGCCCGATAGGTTGCAAAGCTATATATTTAGATAGTATTGAGGGCTTGCCCAACCTTTGTAGCAACAATCATGTGTAAGCCCTGGCTTTATTTTACAATGGTAGCTACACCACTGTGAAAGATGAAATGTTGACCAACATGTTGTTATAAAAGTCCTGATAGCATTAACCTGTGACCTGCGATATACAACATGGAGCTCAGTTTGGTCAGTCACTGTGATACCATCCCATACCAATACTAACCCCTAAAACATCATCTTGTATGGCATAAACATCCATAAAACACTCATTAGGACATCTCCTACATCGATCCCTTGGGTTATGTGCCTTGAAAGTGAACCTCTAGTCATCACAAAAGATGACATTAGCCCAACATTGATTGTCTGATGTTTCCTGTATCCAGCAACACCTCTGATTCCAATGATTCAGCAACAAACGTTGTGGGATGACATGCAGATCTATGATTCACACCATCTGGGAATGTACTCCTTCACCAATGGCCTGTTGCAACAAGTCCCTTATCTGAGTGGAAGTTTTTAATCGGAACCCACCAACCAGTGATTTATTATGGTTCTGTTGTGTGGTGCCCAGTGCTTCCGATCTCCAGAAACCTTCCAAACGGCAAGGTGGTTTCATGGGGAATTTGTCAGCAAAGAGCCAGAGTCACAAGAGACCTTTACAATTTTATTGACAATAACAATATTTTAATAGTTGTGAATGACACAGAAAGCTGATACAACCTTTCAGGCTGAGGGTAAGAGCTACCGGTAGAGTCAAACCCCCTATTGCCTAACATCATGGTTCTCTAACTTAACACATTTCACATTTGTTGAGTGGTGACGCATTTAAGTTTGGATTAGCAACAAAACTCCACCTGAACATACTATAGGAGCAGCCCATGAAAGACCTAACTTTGTTTACTTTCTGAGCAAATTATAATAATTATTTCATCAGCATAGTTAATTTACGAATTTATCAATTACACAAGTTTCATTTCGATAATCATTAATAATGATTCCTGATGATATTTCCAATTCTTGATCATTTCAGCCAGCAATACCCCATTTCCATGATTATTAATGACAAACATACTGCAAATATACCTGTGCTTAACGTTTCCCACGCGTCTATAGGCACGTTGACGTCCATCACTATGGGAAATGTTAAACCTGGACTCATCTGTAACAACAACATTTCTCCACCAAAACAAGCGTCTGCGGACATGATTTCAGCACCACATTCGGCAAGCTTGTCGATGACGTTGTGTCAGGATAGGCCGTATGGCGGGACGTCATGGTCTGATCCCGTGATGACGTAAACGTTGTCGAACTGTGTTGGGGTGGATACGGCGAAGTCCTGGGATGGTTCGGGCAGTCATCACTGCAGTCTGAACCTGTGGCGAAGATGGGTCACCCTTATCCATCTGTCCTGTCTTGGCGTTGTTACACGTGGACGTCCAGAACGTGGCCGATCGATGACGTCATTTGTGTTCTGGTAGCGTCTCACCAGTGCAGAAATGGTTTTCCGGTTGCAGTGGAAATTCGCAGCCACTTGTCGTTGAGACATTCCCCCACGGACCATCCCAATGGCCTCATGACGTTGTGCAGACGTCAGCCTTGGCATGCTATGTGTTTCAATAGCCGTTTAATTTTTTGAACGATCGCAAGGGCAGGGGTTGAGCTTTCCAAAGTGACAGTATTGTGTGGCATTCATTTGCTCTGTTTCTCTTTCGCGGAATGCACGTGCAACAACGTATTGCACGTCTCAAGGAAGAACCCACTGATGTCACGGAACTTGGCACGTGCATGCATGTTGGATACATGTCACTAATCTCTGAGTTTAAATCCTTATGTGTCTACACAGGTTTGATAAATTTAGATTTTAAATTTTTGTATGTACAGTTTCTTTATGTGCCTAGTATATATAAAAACAACATTGTCACAAACTCTGATTAAAGATTATTTATTCACAAAAATATTCATATGTACAGTTACAAGAACAGGACCAGGTACATGCCTCATAAATGAATTTACACACAGATGAAGTGCTGAAACAGATATTTACACAATAAATATTGGCATTGACACAAATCCATAAGTGGACTGTAATGACATAGCAAGTATTTTGAAGCATTATAAACCAACTGGGGAATAATGTGTCATATGAGAGTATACAAGCTCATATTGACTGGTACTCTGGGTTTCTGTTTGGATGTTTAATTCTGAAGATACAGCATGGAGCTTGGTTGAAGAATCACTTTAGTCTCGAGAACAGATTAAAAATATTCCACATATGATCAATAAATTATCCATAGATTTGAACAAACCCTGAAACAATTGTTAAAAGAGCACACAATCTGAAAAATGTTACCGAATTCCCTACACATCAATAGCACCGCAAAGAAGCCATCCATTATTACTTAACATATTCACAAGGCAACTTTGGTGTCACAAGCATGTGGTATGGAGGAGGTCTGCATTTGCTGCAAACTTGATTTGAAATTAAAAACGAAAAGATCCGAACTCAACACATACCCCAAAACAAGCCCCTAACCTGTGATACATTATCATAGTTTTGACTAGATTCATACTGAACTTTGTAATCCACATAGCAGAGGTACAGATAAGCTGCGTATCTGCGTAAATTACGCAAATATTTATTAAGTCTCTTGCATACAAGAAGCTTGAATTTTTGTAAATACTCAATATATGTGATCTAGCATGCGTTCACACAAAAATGTCAAATCTTGGCTTGTGTACCGATGGATAGATAAAATAACAGGTATATTGAGAGGTTCTATTTCAGGACATGAACTTGACAACTTGCAGTCTTTAATATCGTTTCTCATATTATATATCAAATATAAATAACAAACACTAACATTTAACTTTATTATATTTTTAAAATAAATGGAAAATTTCAAAATACCCAATTGAATTTGAGTGGGGCGAGTACAATTTATTTGGTTACTCAAAGGAAACTTAGGATACCCAATCGAGATGAACACATGCGAGGTACATAACTCCCAATGACCCAAAAATGTTATCTGTAGCTCTGCCACATAGCAGTCACATTGTCAGAAAGTTAAAGACAATTTCACATTCTGTTCACAGTTTGTAACAAGTATACCAGGCATACAGACGTTAATGAGAGGCTTCTTAGGTTTCACGGAAATACATCGTACAAGGTAATGAAAGGTATAAAATCTATGGAGGGGACGTCTACTTCCATCATTGGCGACTGCAATCAGTACAGAATGATTGTCAAATCTGACCTCAGATAGTAAGAAAAATTACACTTTCACTCGTACAATCTAAACATGAAACACACTTGTCTTTAATATGTGAAGCTTAGGACTCATACTTGAAGTCCTTCTCTTCCAGTTTCAAACCAATGGATACAATTTTTTAAATTTTCTCCCTGCAGAAACAATTACAATTGAGAGAAAAAAACTTGACATCAATAAAATATTTGACTCTGAACTGAATAGTGAAAGAAACTATGGAATGGTGGTAATATAATCTTGTATGTTGTAAATGAAAGGCCTACACTAGACAGGGCCCAAAATCAGTGAATAAAAGCTTGCAAATAATTAGAAAGGATATTTACACGTTCATTCTAGATTGTGAACACTGTGATTGGAAACATATACATTTTTTAGATATGTTTGTTTTTATAAGACATGATATTGCATGGTCTAAACTATGAAAGAAATGAATGATTTTTTTCTTTCTCTGGAGACTATTGTATAATCTTCCTCTGTGCAGATCAGAAGCAGGCCACAAGCAACAAGCTACGGTACTCAATACATGAACTGCCGTTTCAGATCGCAGTGAAATACTCTGGAAGACCTGTTAACATCTGTTTACATTTTTGTAAAAGTGACTTTTGCATGCTTCTGTGAGTCCAAAATTTGAACAAATGAACTCAGTTCTTCCAATAATATGTTTGAGAAAAGGTTAATTCATTTTCTGTGATGTGGATCTATCTTGCACAATTAACACATTAACACAAAATACTTGACTAGACTTCTATCAAATGGAATGCATGTGCTGGAGACAAATGGGTCGAGTTGCTGTTTTCACAAATAGGTTTATATCAATGAACAACACACATTTATCACACACTGTTGTCAGTGAAAACATTATTGCCTTTGTGAAGCATTTTATTAAAATAGTAATATATATTATCATAGAAATATAAAAATTAACAGTTGCTGTAATGTCTGAAGTCCATAAGTTTTACTGGTGATCCTAACAAATTCTTATCAGCTGGCGTACTTAACATATCCAGAAATTACTCCATACACACACCACTGGCTGGAGAAACATTTCAACAAAGCATGTATTATTTATTGTTCTTGCTATATGTCACATTCCCAAATGTCTGGTTAGGTAGAAGTCAAATACAATATTTCCACTTAGTTCTGAATATACTGCCATGATGTCTCTGTTACTGCAAAAAGGTAGCTGCAGTGTTCATTCTAGCCTTTCTAAGATGTCGGCCCTGGCCCGCCTGTCCTCAGTGATGTGGGTCCTTTAAGAAATATTGTGGGTCATACCAAATTGCAGTAACTTGTTCGCCATACAGCACTAGTTAGTAGTGCATGTAGTGTGAGTACACTTACTTTTTCTAACTTCCAATACAGTAAGGTCAACAGTTTGAAGAAGAGAAACCAAATCAAGATCTCCTCAACACATTTATTAAATGGTTAACATAAATCCAAAATGAATTTGGAAAATATGAATAAATAATGTGCTATAAATACTATGCAATCTCACTGTTCATTAACAACACATATGAAGTTTCAACATAGACTGAATAGTTTTCTTATTCTAGCTAAAACTGTAAGTCTGAGTTTTCATCCAGAAACCTTTGAAACAACACAACTGGACACTTCAACAATGAGCCATGTTATTATTATCAGTCTGACAGTGACTAATCCAAAGTGATTATGTAATTTTCATATGTTTCTGTTCGGCAGTGTTTACCGATAAGCTTTAAGTTGTGCCACCCAGACATTGTAAAACTCTGACAATGATTTGTGTGCAAGACAAAGCTGTCTTTAATAAGTTAGTGACATGTATTATAATTGTTCATGTGATACTCGAGAAAACAACGGTTGTTAAACTTCCGAAAACAACTGAACTGCTATACACAAGGACACCTCTAATGCTGCTTCTAATACTCAGCACGTTTCAGTGAGGGAAAGCAGTACTATATTATTTGTAACAAAAACCTACTTAGTTTGGAGTTTTGCATTAGTTGCCAAGCAAAAACAAACTGAATGAATGTGTCAACACGACCTGCCCATATTTGTACAGAGCACCACATATCATTTAAGAGCACAAATGGCACTAGAGTGCGGCCTAGAATGAACACTGTAGCTGATTGATTTATTTATTTATATATGAAGCATGTATTTCATCAAACCATACATTGCTATATGTAAAATGCACCTTTTTTGGTGTTTCTTTAATTAAAATGAAACCATGACAACCAAGCAACATAATCGCAAGAACAAAACATGTAATTTGGCAAGACTTGATACATTAATCTGCATAGATCATCAGTTTGTGATAGAATCAGCTGTCTATACCAGACATATTCCATTCATCCAAATAAAATACAACCTTGAAGAAACAGTCCATTATTCAACAAGATAAGCAAGTATCTAGATATCTAACCATTACCGTACAAAGATACCAGTTTTAATAGAGACCCCTAACATCTCAATACAAAAGCAACTTGTTTGGGAAACAAAACTTAGTAATAATAATGAACATGATTGGACATAATACATGACAATAACTTCCTCTCCAAAGTGAATGTTGGACACATATGTACAGCAGGGACCCAGGGAGTCCCAGTCAGTACCAATACTCTTCCTTATCACATATGAATCATGATGAACAGGCATTTAATGCTAGTAACAAAGTAACTACAGTGTAATATCAAGTATACACAATCAACTGTTAATAACAATTTACTGCTAATATTGTTTGATACAATATAGGTTACTTTTCAGCTTTTTGCAGCAAGAATGGTAAGGAGAACTGGGAGCTAGAAACCATTTCAATATAAAGTCAGATTATGAGGTGACTTCCTTCAGCATTGTTCAAGACATCATACTTTACGAGTGAGTGAGCGAGTTGGGTTTTACGCCGTTTTTAGCAATATCCCAGCTATATCACAGCGGGGGAACACCAGAAATGGGCTTCACACATTGTACCCATGTGGGGAATCGAACCCGGGCCTTTGGTGTCACGAGCTAACGCTTTAACCACTAGGCTAACACACACACCCCACCCCCCCCCCCTCTACTTACGAGCCGATGATAGCTATTTAGAAGTCGGAGGAACATGAAGACATGAAACTCTTATGACAAACTGCCTGACTGAGTTTAGTTTTACGCAGCTTTTAGCAATATTCCAGCAATATCATGGCGGGGGACACCAGAAATGGGCTTAACACATTGTGCCCATGTGGGGAATCGAACCCGGGTCTTCGGCGTGACGAGCCAACGCTTTAACCACTAGGCTACCCCACCGCCCCTCTTATGACAAAAACATCTTTATCAGTTGTAACTGTATTTCAGGGCTACATCTTGAACTTCATTCACATCAAGGGTTAAGAGGCCGAAATGAAACATTCCTACAAACAATAATGAAGATGATGAAGATGTTGTCATCCATAAAAATTTCATGTTTGTGTTGTAAATTAACACATTTGATTCTGAGACATTTTAATTAGTGAAATCATAAACTGAGAAATTCATATATGTCTTTAAATATCAACTTGCAAAGTAGGATTTGTGGTACTGAAGTATAACTTACTGGGACTGCCAAATAATCCAACCCAATCTCCCCTTTAAGAAAGTTGGAGGGTTGAAAGGTTGGACAATACCTGCTTCTTTGTATCAAGAAGAAATCTCTTGCTACTATGTAATGCATCCTGGAGACACGACACCCATTACCGAGTTCATCTTTGAAGATATCATCAACAAGATATCCACTGGCATAACTGTGTCTGCTTGAGACAACACTGCAACTACTACACAAGTTTTGAGTCACACCCATTCACGTTATAAGGGATTTTAGTCCAGATCTAGGTTATCCTTATCCTTGTTCTCGTTTTGAGAAAACTTTTTTAACCTCCTCTTCCTGACGTCATGAAGCTCATCGGCATGCTCTTCTTTATGCTGGGTCCACCCACTGAGGAATCTCTTCCTCTGTTGGAGGTGTATAACCTATTGCACCTTCTAAATCGGAATAATCTGAAATAAACAAATCATGGATGAGAATTGACAGAGGCTACTCAAAACAATTATCATAGATCATATAAGAAATGGGTTGAAAACTGAGATGAATAGCAATTTATTGATGAAATCAAGCTCACGTACCAGATATTCCTCAAATTCTATTACTTTTCAGTTTTACCACAGAACCCAGTGTGGCAAAGACATATTCCTTGCCAATGAGTAGTGTTAAACTAGCATACTGGGAGAAATGATCTGTTCCCATTAATGAGTGAGTGAGTTTAGTTTTATGCCGCACTATGCAGCAGTATTCTGTAAATAATCAAGTCTGGACCAGACAATCCAGTGATCAACATCATGAGCAATAATCTATGCGATTGGGATACGATGAAATGTCAACCAGTCACCCGTTAGTCGCCTCTTAGGAATAGCATAGGTTAATGAAGATCAATTCTAACCCGGATGTTCACAGGTCGTATCCCTTCATGATTTAAATTCATCATTCGCAATCACTAAAATCAAATATTAATGAATTTTTCAGTGTTTGCACTTGAATGTGGGTGTTACTTATCGAAGTGAGATGTGCAAAATGGAATATATCCAAGCCAGGCAGGGTCACAGTTACATGTTTTAACATGAACTACAATTAGTTGAGCTTACATGAGAGAACACAATTTTGCTTTGAAGTTGAAACTAACGTCACACACTGAGTTACAGTGCCTGTCTACATATTGTTGGTGCGCTCAAGGTTGATGTTACATTTGTCAAAAGTGGTGAAGTTGAACTTTCTTATATATTGGGTTTGTGCAGATTTTGCGGAATTTAACATAAGCAATAGTGAATAAGGTATTAAAGTAGATTAAAAACATTAGTCTAGATATTACTTGGAACATTTTCTATATCCAGATAGCGTAATTACAGGATTAAATTGTGTACTTAATTTCAGATTTGTTGCGATGGTATTTGTGAAGGATCAAAACCGAGGAGGAGGTATTGATCCAACTTATGAACCGATCAAAGATATACTTTAGATACAATTTAAATGTTTGGTATTTACTGTTGAAATCAACTGGGATGCAACTGGCAGCCAATACCTTGCCTTGCAAGTGCTACCCGTATCCTGCACGTAGGCTGCACACACTACCCATCTTGTGAGGAACAAAGGGTTCATACTGGCAAACAATCACATTCTTCACAGCAATCCTTCGTAGCCTAGTGGATAAAACCGCTGTACTAGTAAGCTATATGACAGTAGCCTGTGATTAATCCAGTCTGGACCAGATAATCCAGTGATTGATGATGTTGGGAACTGTCCACGCAGGTTACAGAACCTGACCACATGATCCACTTAGTTGCTGGGGCCTATTCCAACAAGGATCCCCACATGGAACCTCATAATATCATCAATCCAATCAGTAATAGGCAAATCAGGGGTGTCGTTTTAATGACAAGTAATCACAAATACAGATAACAAAATAAACACATGTTATTTGACTGCTCACAAATACCCACCTGTTTTATCATCTTTCTTAACTTGTGTAAAATGTGCTTCTGATTTTGAAATATTGCTCTCAGACTTCACTGTAGTTTTTGGCCTTGCTCCCACTGATGGCGTCGATGTTGTCGACGAAGATGGAGTAGTGGCTGTGGGGGAGTTCACTCTTGTAGAAGAGATGCCTGGCATGCTAGAACAAAGAGTTTGGGTTAAAACTTTACATTACATCAACTTATTATCAATTAAAAATATGCAACATTGAACATTTTCCATAATGATGAAAGTAACTATTGTTTTTTATTCTGCAAAGATAATGTAATTTTCTGGCTAAAATTGATATTTTATACTTATCCTGACTCATGCTCTTTTGCTTGTCTCCTTCTTCTTTGGAAGCGAAGATAGTGGAACACTTGAATCCCTTGTCAGCCTTTTTGAAGCTCCCCATGCTTGCTACCTCCTCAGCCTAAAAGCTAGATTACCGGACGGAAATCCTAGGAGGTTCTCACCCATCAACAGTAGCCTCCATATATTTTTCCTTATTGGTCATCTGACCAGCCATGCTTGTCACTCTCTCCATATATGAGCCCGACACCCAGAGAGAGAGAAACCACAACTTGTCATATTTCTCTGGAACTCTTCTTCTGACATTATGTGTGGATTTATGCAACTCCATGTCCAGTGGAGAAGCAGGGTCTATCACTCATGCTGGTCTGCCCTAGACGTGCGCATGGACTCTAAAGCTCTAGCTCTCCAGAGCGTTGGCTTTTACAAGTCGCGTGATAAAAGGGTGAGATCCATCTCAGCGCCTTTGTGGAACCGTCAATTGTTGTGCTACAACAAAAGGCCCAAACTGGTGAATGCCGGAGACGTCCTCGGTAGCAATGTCTCTGAGGTAGTGGTTGGCAAACACCGTCTCCGACTTCTGTATGGATCATCAGTTGTGCGTTCCTTAGTATGCTGGACCAGTGTAGTAAGGCGTATATTACTGCTTTCATCTCAAGCATGTTGATGTGCAGGCTCTGCTCCTGACTCGACCATTTCCCTGCTGCCACTTCATTGTCAAAGTGAGCTCCCCATACTTGAAGCGATGCATCTACATAGAGATGAGTGCTGCACTCCGGCTCTGATAAATAGGTTCCTCCACAGACATTCGACTTCCGAGTCCACCATAGAAGATACGGTTTCAGACAGTCCGGTAACACGAAGGGGTCCAGACTGTTGAGATGGGCGTTCACGAACACTTGTAGTGGGCGCAGTTGTAGTCTTCCTCTGCGAGTCATGTCTTGAGCTGACGTGAGAAGACCGAGTAGGCTCTGCCAACTTCGTAGTGGTAACGGAGAGAGTAGTGCTTGAGCTACCATGGCTTGTATCTAGACCCAACGATCCTCTGAGACGACCATGCGATTCTGTGGTGAGATGAACATCTTCCCAGAAATCTGCTCATATCCTACGTTGTAGGTACCCTTGCCATGTCTGTAATGGAAGCGGAGCAATGTCCGGTTCTGGAATCATGACTTCCGATAATATGTCAAGAAGACTTGTCCCCAGAATCCCAACAAAGTGCAGTGATGATGCATAATTCGTCGTCTCTAGATGTACTGGAACTGCCATCGCTGTGAAGTCTATGTATAGTAGACTGGCTGCCGCGAGCAGAATTCGTCAAACTTAGGTTACTGCAAATCTCCGGATAAACAATCTTCAATCTGCTGACAGGGAAGGTCCTTATGACCCGTGAAGACAGTCGAATCACACTGTACCCTGCAAACTGGACTGTAGATGGAGCCTTCCTCCCACGTTGAAAAGTTGTTTACAACTGTAGACGACTTCCTGGCACGTGAGCTATGCCCGACTTCTGCGCAGGGCATTGTCTCTCATGGACCAATCAAATTGCAGCATTTGATTCATCTCAGATACCCGCGATGTGACGTCACCCGTGTTGCAGGAAAAGATCCTTTTAAAAATCTTGTGCAGTTGTTGATTTCTTCATCAACACTCGGCCTTGTCCATAACCTCCCGGAGTTAAACGAGTGAACAGTGAGCAGGCTGAGTGGAAAACGCGCGGAATTTCGCCACGTAATTCCGATGTAGGTAGACTGTCTCCCTGGCTGTTGTGATTGTTTCCTTCTTAACTGAAGATAATGCAGTCGTCATCTTATACAGATGATCAGCTGAAGTTCCATACTTGCTTAACGCTGTTATTTGTAGACTGTAGTCATCGGTCTCAATGAAGCGCCATAAAATAACCAATTGTGTTGAATAAACAAAGGTTCTTGTAGAGTTGATTCTTCGCTACGATGACCGTGAAAAACGAGTGAATGCCAATGCTAGGCCAGTGCTAACTGTCAAGCTGTCCCCTTCCTCACAAGAGTCAAGCCCGCTGATGTTGGATCTGTCTAGCCCGAAACAAGTACGTCTAGTAGTTGTGTAAGTTCTGCAATGGAAGTCGTTGATGATCTTGTAGTTCTCATCAATCTCTGGAGCCTTCATGAAGGGTTCCATATGAAGTAGTGGGAAATTCCTGGCGTTGAACATCGGGACATGTTGACTCTGGAACTTCTTAGCCTTACCAAGGCTGTGCTGAGATTCTCCGGTACTTGAGCTATCAGGTCGATAGGTGAAAGGTGAACGTATCAAATCATCGTTAGATATCTTGTACGTGAGCGCTTCTGATCCACGACGACGTGAGTCCCTGCCGGCCTGAAGACCTGCGCGCAGGTGAACAGTTGGAATATGAATCTTCCCTTGAATCTTGAGACGTATCCCTCTGCCTTCGTGAAGGTGTGGATTCTCTTCTCTGTGATGAGGAGTACCTGCACGCAGGCTCACGACGAAGATCCGCATCTGAGGGTGAAGATGATCCATGTGACCTACTTCTGCGATACTCCGAAGAATGTCTAGTCCTGCTACTGCGCAAAGGCTCCTTGGAAGGTTGTTCCGGCACGTCTAGGGCTGCATCATCGTTGTCGAGGTTGCAGTCAAGTGTGAACCTTCACACAGGCTTCCATCTTGGTTGGAATGCGATGTGAAGACTGCTGATCCTTCGTGCTGGATCGTCATCCTAGATGAGGTCTTCGTATCAGCCTTCACGCAGACTTCCTCCTTCACGCAGGCTTCCATCTTCGTTGAAATGCGATGTGAAGACTGCTGATCCTTCGTGCTGGCTCATCATCATAGATGAGGTCTTCGTATCAGCCTTCACGCAGACTTCCTCCTTCACGCAGGCTTCCATCTTCGTTGAAATGCGATGTGAAGACTGCTGATCAGTAGTGCTCAGCTCATCATAGATGCTGGCTCATCATCATAGATTTAGGTCTTCTGTGAAGACTGCTCGTCCTTCGATTATGATCAGCCTTCACGCAGACTTCCTCCTTCACGCAGGCTTCCATCTTCGTTGAAATGCGATGTGAAGACTGCTGGTCCTTCGTGCAGGCTCGTCATCGTAGCAGCCTTCAAGCAGACTTCATCCTTCACACAGGCTTCCATCTTCGTTGGGATGCAATGTGAAGACTGCTGGTTCTTCGTGCAGGCTCGTCATCGTAGGTGAGGTCGTAGCAGCCTTCACAAAGACTTCCTCCTTCACGCAGTCCTCCATCTTCGTTGGGATGCGATGTGAAGACTGCTGGTCCTTCGTACAGGCTCGTCGTCATAGATGAGGTCTTCATAGCAGCCTTCACGCAGGCTACCATCTTCAACAGGATGCAATGTGCAGACTGCTTGTCCTTTGTGCAGGCTCGTCATAGATGGGGCCATCGCCGCAGCCTTCTTCTGTGCGAACCGTGGTTCCATCAGCTCCAACATCTGCTCAGTGAACTGCAGCATGAAGATACCCGGGTTGAAGTTCTGCGACGACGGCTGCTGCTGCTGCAGATGACGACGCATCTGAGAGTGATGAGGCTTCTTCCAAGGACCGCTGCACTTGCGAAGAACTGCAGTCTCTGGTACCTGATGTCTGCGTTGATAGATCATCTGACTGCGCTGAGATGACTGCTGATGTCACTGTAGAAGAGGATCTCTTCCAGAGGATCTCGAAGAGGAGATGCCCCATGGGAAGACTTTGCTGGAAGTCTCATCTGCAGACGACTTCTTTTCTTTGAAGACGATGCCCTGGTCTTCTTAGACTGCAACGAGGCTACTTCCGAGACCTCTTCCTGGAGCCGGAGCTCCCCTCTGCCACAGCAACATGCTCTGTAGTAGCAACCGGCAATTCACTGGAATGGTGAATCTCAGCAGGCAGCAATCAACGGTTATCAGCGCATTCACTCAGTTAGACATGACTTAATAAATGCCATCTAGACCTGTCCTGAGCACGTCTAAGAATGGAATATAAATAATTATTAAATTCAATTTCAGATAAATGCTGACAAAGTTGGCAGACAAAGCTGGAAGAACATGTAGAAGTGCAATTAGGACATAATAGATGAGGATCAGCAGCAGACAACCGGGACCTCCAACGAATGCAAGTTTTTCATCAGTTGTAAACAAGATGAAATATCACGTCGACAATGTGAATAAACAGATACATCAGACAACAAATTCCACACCATATTGCTGGTATATCTTCCTAAATGCCGTATACAGCTAAAATTAGTGGTAAAGGCCTAAAATTGAAAGGATATAGTGCTGTATAGGGGATCCAGGCGCTCTCACAACCGTCCTCTAGGGCGAAGAAGGAGAGAATGACAAGCATGGCTGGTCAGGTGACCAATAAGGGCGCCAAAGGGCAAAGGGAGGCTACTCGTGGGGTGAGTGATTTTATGTCCGCTTTTTATAAGGGAGCTTCAAAAGGGTGAGGTGAGGTGAAATTGGACTTAACGTCGTGCCTGTGAATATTTCGCTCATATGACGACGTGCATGCGTGTGTATGTGTATGTGTATGTGCGGCTGCTTGTACTAGCCCAAACTGAAGCTGGTTTTATAGTGCTAGCCTGAGATACTCATGTGAAGTGAAGCATGAATACCCCACTCAGACACATTATACTGACTCTGAGCCGACCAGTCCTTGTTGTACCCATTAATGCCGAGCGCCAGCTTCAAAAGGGGATTCAAGTGTTCCACTATCATTCGCAAGAAGAAGGAGACAAGCAAAAGAGCATGAGTCAGGATAAGGAAAAAATTTTATAGTTTTTACACTACAAAAATCACAATATTATCAATCACACCAAAATCTATACTGCCAATATTGCTTGTATCTGACCTTGTTAATCTAATGTAAAATTCAGGACATTTTAACATATTTGTATCAGCAAAATCTCAATAGATAGTGTAGTGAACTATCAAAACTGTTTCTCTCAAACTGTGATGAGTTTGGTTCTACAGAGATTTTAGCATTATTCTACACCTGAAATAGGCTTCACACATTGAATCGAACTCGGATCTTTGGTGAACACTCAAACCACGAGACTACCCAATCACTCTTCTCTGAAGCAACTGATAACTCAAATCAATGATATTTCACTGTATATCTCTGCATTTCGCTCACAGTAATACAATACACAGTAGATTCCACTTCCAGCTTACCTCATCTGTGAAGCCACTTGGTTATACTGGTTTATAAGAACCATAGCACCATCCAGTAGTGCCTGTATATCACGTAACCACTGAATCCGTGCCTCCACATTCTCTCGCTCCTGGCCCTCCATCATCTTGAGCTCCTCTGTAGACAACCCAGTCATGTTAGACGGAGCTTGCGGAAAGCCTGTAAACACAATAAGCCCTAGTTTCAGTTGTACTCTTAAAACATCTCATCATCAGAGTGTATGCAGTTCTTAATCGGTCACTGTAAATACATCTTTTCTGTAAAGATCATACTGTTCTTTCATATGTGTTGTGAAGGAACATATTGTAGACAATATGTTATAGCTAATACGAAAAAAGTTAACAGTTGCAGTGTGTTATGCAGTTCATTAGAGACAATTAAACATACCATGTTGCCATATTAAGCAAATATTAATAAATGCCTGCTGACCAACTTCTATACTGATTTATGAGTAATTTTAAAAGCAACCATACAAAGTTCAAACACTTACATATAATATTCCTTATTTTAGGCGGTGGATATAATAATGAGTTTGACCAATGTTTGCTTTTCCCACTGTGTATGATTTTACTAGAGAGTGAGTGAGTGAGCATAGTTTTACGCCACCTTTGGTAATATTCTAGCAATATCATAGCGGGAGACACCAGAAATGGGCTTCACACATTGTACCCATGTGGGGCATCGAACCTGGGTCTTCAGCATGATGAGCGAACGCTTGAACCACTAGGCTACCCCATGATTTTACAAAGTAAACTCTCCTTTACCAGTGTTCTGAGCACCCAAGATCTAAATCACAGCAAATATATTACTACCATATGTCTCAGTACCATGAAAGAGTGAGTGAGTGAGTTATTATTTAAGTTATCGGCAATATTTCAGCCACATCGTGTCGAAGCATGAAAGATATCATCATAGTGCTGAATGAAGTATCTGAAAAAGTCATACCGAAGGGAGGGTAGTATGGCATCATAGGAAAGAAGGAACCATATGGGGGCATGGCACCAGGGAATGGTGATGGTGGAGTGCCCGGGGCTGTACTTGTTGCTGTAGAAGCTGTTGGAGTTGTGGGTGTAGTAGGTGTCGAAGGAGTCGTACCTGTAGTGTTTGGGGCCCCTCCTGCTGCTGAGATAAAGATGTAATTTTCTGATTAAAATTGATATTTTATACTTATCCTGACTCATGCTTTTTGCTTGTCTCCTTCTTCTTGCGAATGATAGTGGAACACTTGAATCCCTTTTTGAAGCTCCCTTCAAAAAAGCGGACGTAAAATCAATCACCCAAGGTTGCCTCCCATTACTGTTTTGGCACCAAAATCAGTCACATGATCGCCCATGCTCGTTACTCTCTCCATTTATGATCCCCAACACCCGGATTTATAGGAAAATCCAGAGTGCCATGAGGGGAGGTGGGGAGGGGTGACCTCATGAGTCAGGATAAGTATAAAAATGTAATTTTTGGAGTAAAATTGATATTTTATACTTATCCTGACTCATGCTCTTTTTGCTTGTCTTCTTCTTCTTGCGAACATAGTGGAACACTTGTATCTCCCTAATTGAAGCTCCCTTCAATTTAAAATCACTAATTAGTATTCACCACGAGTTACCTCCTTTCCACAAGCTCGGGAACGAGGGCGCCACCTCTACCCATGTGCCTCACTCTCTCCTCATATACTGATTCCAACATTTGAATTTACAGGAAATCCAAAGTGTTATTTGGGAGGATGGGAGGGCTGACCTCATGAGTCAGGATAAGTATAAAATATCAATTTTACTCCAAAATTACATATTTTCCTTATCCTGACTCATGCTCTTTTGCTTGTAGCATCCTAACACGGAACGGAGGTGGGAATATCTAATACTTTGGATTTTAATAATTAGTGATTTGAACTGTGATGATTGTAATAACCCTATGGGAACTTCATAAAGGCACTGAACTGATGAATTCCTGCTGCTAACTTATCAGCTGCCATATAAAAAGGTTATTACCATGTACTTATTATGATAAAGTATATATAACATTAATACAATGCTTAAGACTAATAGACTTAAGCTTGTTAATATGCTAGTATAAACTCCTTAGAGTTTGTTAGCTAAAATACTTTAAGATATAACATAGTACTAAGCTTAAGATATGATTAAACTTAAGCTAATTATATAATAGCAAACTCTTTAGAGTTTGTTAGTTAATATACTTATATGATATATCGAGACACAAGGGGAAGTAGCCTGGCAATGCAGGTTGCCCCTGGTGGACACAGAGTAGACCTAGGGCGCCCGGTGATGCGGCAGCTCAGTGGAACGGAACCCGGCGCCGAGGAGGAACCTGCCGATATACAGGTTTCCCGGGCAACCCGACTGACCCGTGTGGCGCCCGAGGTGTCCCGAAGCTGAGTCGGCGCCCTAGGCGACCGCCAGTCCAGGGCACCAGGGCAAAACCTGCAGGGGCCCGAAGCCTGCATCGCCCGGCCAGAAGCCCGTGGCGAACCTGAGCCCGAAGCTAGGTGCCACAAGGTGCGAGAAGGCGAGGTGTCCCCTGAGCTGGTCTGCGCCTGGGCGACGCCAGTCAGGGCACCAGGCGAAGACAGGGCAAAAACCTGCATCGCCGGCGCCAGGCGCCGTGGCGAACCTGAGCCGAAGCTAGGTGGCCACAAGGTGCGAAGCACACCATCACCTGAGCGAAGCCAGGATCAAGCTGCCTGGGAGGAGGCGTTCTCCGAGCCAGAGCTGGGCGCAATAACCCCAGATGCGTCCGATCCACCCCGGCGACAGAGCGTGCTGAGCTCCTTGCGGAACCCAGACAGCACCGTGTCAATCGAGGCGGGAATTTCACCACAGGCGACACCTGGTGAACTTACCTTCCGAGATCAACACTGCGAGCGAGCTCCTTCACGGAGCCGGACATCAGCGCTATCAATCATCGAATTGACATTATGTTGAAGAATATGTTGCTGCAATAGTGAAGCAAATTGAGTCATATTTAAGTCCAGCAACATTGTTTGCGGAAACGATAAAGGGATTTCCTTAGAAACCTTTTATCAAATATTATCCCGCCTGGAGCAGATTAGTTTAAAACATAACATCTATGCGATGTCGGAAAGAATCTTGGCGTGGCGCAGAAACCCAGACAAAACCACAACCTCGACCTATGAGCCCGCGTTGTGTAAGCGGTATGAAATATGTATCATAATACAACATAATGTAACAGGAATATTGGCCTTAAAGGCGTTTATTATGAGCATCCTTGATCGTCATGAGCATCCTCGGCTAAACACGAGAGGCACACTTTATAACCATCCTGTGGCGGTAGTGTGCATGGCTGCTTAACCACAGGGCTTAAACTGCAACAAACAGAACCAGCCAGTGTTACTAGCAGGAACTGTGAAGCAGCAAACACATAAACACAAGTAATAGCAAGAATAATCGCGCACGGGCGATATATATAAATGCTACAAGCTACAGCCATTTAAATACTAAACATACAATGCAAAGCAGAAAAAGGCTAGCCCACCCTGGCGTGTACTAGTAATAGAGTAAAGTTGAGTGTCTGAAGCGAACACTATCAAAATTACTCAACAACGACTTACCACAAATTAAGCTGAAAAGAAAGAGATTTAGGCAAGCCTACCATATAATAATGCAAACATAATATATGAACTCCCTACTACAAGCTACCAATAACATATAGCAAGGAAACCCGCGATCGTGGCGGTCCGCCATTTTGCCTGCCACATGGCTGGAAAACAGAGAACCCACGGCAAAGTTACAACAAAAGATGAATGAAAATATCCACATATGGCGTCCATCTAGCAGCCGTGTGTAGAGAAAGGAACCATACATACAGATTGAGACTCTTTTACACTCATCGTTATCGGTAGGAGAGCAAACTCGAAGCGAACACCACGCATGCGTCTATTCAACAGAGCGACAGCATGAAAAGTGAGGTCACGAGGTAGAAGGGGCGAGTTACCTGCTCTTGGCAGTGTTGGTCGATGGGGCCCTGTAGGGGTGGTCTCACAAGACAAAACGAGTTTTTTGTTTTGTAAATATTTTATTAAAAATATAGTTACAACTGTCGTAGGATTTAAAATGGACATTTTAATGCTTATATGTACCCCAAGGAGGACTTCTTCTGAAAAAGAATAAAAGGATATAGTGCCGTATAGGGGATCCAGGCGCTTTCTGGCACCGTCCTCTAGGGGTGAAGAAGGAGAGAGAGTGACAAGCATGGCTGGTCAGGGTGACCAATAAGGACGCCAAAGGGCAAAGGGAGGCTACTCGTGGGGTGAGTGATTTTACGTCCGCTTTTTTTAAAGGAGCTTCAAAAGGGTGAGGTGAGGTGAAATTGGACTTAACATCGTGCCTGAGAATATTTCGCTCATATGACGACGTGCATGCGTGTGTATGTGTATGTCTATGTGCGGCTGCTTGTACTAGCCCAAACTGAAGCTGGTTTTATAGTGATAGCCCACTGAGATACCATGCCGCAGTGAAGCATGAATACCCCACTCAGACACATTATACTGACTCCGAGCCGACCAGTCCTTGTTGTACCCATTAATGCCGAGCGCCAGCTTCAAAAGGGGATTCAAGTGTTCCACTATCATTCGCAAGAAGAAGGAGACAAGCAAAAAGAGCATGAGTCAGGATAAGGAATTTTTTTTATAGTTTTTACACTACAAAAATCACAATATTATCAATCACACCAAAATCTATACTGCCAATATTGCTTGTATCTGACCTTGTTAATCTAACGTTAAATTCAGGACATTTTAACATATTTGTATCAGCAAAATCTCAATAGATAGTGTAGTGAACTATCAAAACTGTTTCTCTCAAACTGTGATGAGTTTGGTTCTACAGAGATTTTAGCATTATTCTACACCTGAAATAGGCTTCACACATTGAATCGAACTCAGATCTTTGGTGAACACTCAAACCACGAGACTACCCCACCGCCCCTTCTCTGAAGCAACTGATAACTCAAATCAATGATATTTCACTGTATATCCCTGCATTTCGCTCACAGTAATACAATACACAGTAGATTCCACTTCCAGCTTACCTCATCTGTGAAGCCACTTGGTTATACTGGTTTATAAGAACCATAGCACCATCCAGTAGTGCCTGTATATCACGTAACCACTGAATCCGTGCCTCCACATTCTCTCGCTCCTGGCCCTCCATCATCTTGAGCTCCTCTGTAGACAACCCAGTCATGTTAGACGGAGCTTGTGGAAAGCCTGTAAACACAATAAGCCCTAGTTTCAGTTGTACTCTTAAAACATCTGATCATCACAGAGTGTATGCAGTTCTTAATCGGTCACTGTAAATACATCTTTTCTGTAAAGATCATACTGTTCTTTCATATGTGTTGTGAAGAACATATTGTAGACAATATGTTATAGCTAATACGAAAAAAGTTAACAGTTGCAGTGTGTTATGCAGTTCATTAGAGACCATGAAACATACCATGTTGCCATATTAAGCAAATATTCAAAAATGCCTGCTGACCAACTTCTATACTGATTTATGAGTAATTTTAAAAGCAACCATACAAAGTTCAAACACTTACATATAATATTCCTTATTTTAGGCGGTGGATATAATAATGAGTTTGACTGAGGTTGGAACAATGTTTGTTTTTCCCACTGTGTATGATTTTACTAGAGAGTGAGTGAGTGAGCATAGTTTTACGCCACCTTTGTTAATATTCTAGCAATATCATGGCGGGAGACACCAGAAATGGGCTTCACACATTGTACCCATGTGGGGCATCGAACCTGGGTCTTCAGCATGATGAGCGAACGCTTGAACCACTAGGCTACCCCATGATTTTACAAAGTAAACTCTCCTTTACCAGTGTTCTGAGCACCCAAGATCTAAATCACAGCAAATATATTACTACCATATGTCTCAGAACCATGAAAGAGTGAGTGAGTGAGTTATTATTTAAGTTATCGGCAATATTTCAGCCACATCGTGACGAAGCATGAAAGATATCATCATACTGCTGAATGAAGTATCTGAAAAAGTCATACCAAAGGGAGGGTAGTATGGCATCATAGGAAAGAAGGAACCATATGGGGGCATGGCACCAGGGAATGGTGATGGTGGAGTGCCCGGGGCTGTACTTGTTGCTGTAGAAGCTGTTGGAGTTGTGGGTGTAGTAGGTGTCGAAGGAGTTGTACCTGTAGTGTTTGGGGCCCCTCCTGCTGCTGAGATAAAGATGTAATTTTCTGATTAAAATTGACATTTTATACTTATCCTGACTCATGCTTTTTGCTTGTCTCCTTCTTCTTGCGAATGATAGTGGAACACTTGAATCCCTTTTTGAAGCTCCCTTCAAAAAAAGCGGACGTAAAATCAATCACCCAAGGTTGCCTCCCATTACTGTTTTGGCGCCAAAATCAGTCACATGATAGCCCATGCTCGTTACTCTCTCCATTTATGAGCCCCGACACCCGGATTTATAGGAAAATCCAGAGTGCCATGAGGGGAGGTTGGGAGTACTGACCTCATTAGTCAGAATAAGTATAAAATATCAATTTTAGTCAGAAAATTACATATTTTTCCTCATCCTGACTCATGCTTTTTGCTTGTAGAATGTGATGAAAACCGGTGGTGGGTCAGGCCACTTCTGGATTCATAGGTTGCTGATTTACGTCCTGCATTCCCCCCGTGGGAACTTCTTATGGCACTTGTGCTGATCCTTTTCTTCCAGCTTCCTCTGATGAGTCTGGGGGGGACCACAACTTGTCATATTCTCTGGAACTCTTCTCCTGACATTATGTGTGGTTTATTTACTCCATGTCTTGATGCTTGCATCAAGTGGAGAAGCGACCCTTCTTCATGTACGAGTAACTCCTTTACAAGTACAGGGTCTATCAATCATGCTGGTCTGTCTTAGACGTGCGCATGGACTCTAAAGCTCTAGCTCTCCAGAGCGTTGGCTTTTACAAGTCACGTGAAAAAGGGTGAGATCCATCTCAGCGCCTTTGTGGAACCGTCAATTGTTGTGCTACAACAAGAGGCCCAAGCTGGTGAATGCCGGAGACATCCTCGGTAGCAATGTCTCTGAGGTAGTGGTTGGCAAACACCGTCTCCGACTTCTGTATGGATCATCAGCTGTGCGTTCCTTAGTATGCTGGACCAGTGTAGTAAGGCTTTTATTACTGCTTTCATCACTTCCAAAAGCAGCCCTCCATTATAGTCGAGATGGAGCAGTTTCCATGCAGAGCGAGTGTTGATGCCAGAGCTCTGACTTCATGAGGGTTGGAGGCTCGTGTATGCTCAAGTCCTGCCGCTTTGTAGGCCCTTAAGATGACGGCTCTCATCCAAATGGATATTGTTGTATGTGAGACTTCTGTGGTTGTCTCCGTGGATAGAGGGATGAAAAGGCGCTTGAATTTTCGTCTCCTGGTGTTAGTTCTTTGTAGGTAGAGTTTTAATGCTCTGACTGGGCATAAGGATAGATCCTGGATATCCTGTGGCCCAAGGACTGTAGAGAGTGCTGGGATGTGGAACTGTCTGTCCGGGCAGCTGGTTCTTTGCTATGAAATCCCATCTCAGTCCTAGATGTACGATGTTACGATGTGCATCAAATCGTATTCGTTCAAAGTCCAGAGCATGTATCTCCTACATCCGTGCTGCTGTTGCCAAAGCGATCAGGAACAGAGTTTTGTGCATTAAAAACTCGTAAGATATCCTTTCTAGTGGTTCGTAAGCGTCACTGGTGAGACGCTGCAAGACTACGTTGAGATCCCAAGTAGGCGCATTAAACGTCTTTTGTTGGTCTTCCAACTTGAAGGAGAGTAGTAGTGGCAGTAGCTCTGGTACTTTGGTCAGCTTAACACCAAACTTGATGGTGATAACCGTGCTGAGGGCCTTTTAACCGCCTCGTTTGTCTTAGATAACATAGGTATTCCGCCACTTGAGGATGCATTGCTTTCATCGCCGTGAAGCCCTTCCTCAAAGCGTATTCCTCAAATCTCTGCCACTTGTCGTCGTACAAGTTGCGGGTTGATCTACGTAGAGCTAGTGTCACTGCTTTCGCTGCTCTAGCGGAATATCCTCTATTCTCAAGCAAGTCTTGATACGCTCCATGCGTGTAACTGGAACACTGTGGGATTCCCGTGTGCTTGCTTGGTGTGCGGATGGATGAGTAGGTTCGGACACTCTGGGAGTTCAGGGTTGGACTTCCGAGTTCTTGCATGAGGATGGGAAACCACACCCTTGCTGGCCAATAGGGCGCTACCAAAATCAGTTGCGATATTAAAGCTGGAAGTGGAAACGCTTAAGCGTTTAGTCCTTCCCAAGAGATGCTTAGAGCATCTGTTGCCCATGCTTATGGATCGGGAATCAGAGAGACGAATGTTGGTAGTTGTTTGTTGTACTTTGTGGCAAACAGGTCTATCAGCGGAGATCCTATCATCTGTATGATGCATCGGAAGGCTTCTGATGTAACATCCATTCCGTCGGGGATGGTTGTGCAGGACAAGATAGGGCATCTGCTATCACATTCTTGGCTCCCGGAATATGGCATGCTTTTATGTAGATGTTCAGGTCGTCTATTATGCTGAACAGATGAAAGCTGAGATCTAGAAGATTTCTTGATCTTGTTGATCCTTGTTTGTTGATGTAGAACGCTACTGTGGAGTTGTCCGTATGGATCATCAGTTGTGCGTTCCTTAGTATGCTGGACCAGTGTAGTAAGGTGTATATTACTGCTTTCATCTCGAGCATGTTGATGTACAGGCTCTGCTCCTGACTCGACCATTTCCCTGCTGCCACTTCGTTGTCAAAGTGAGCTCCCCATCCGTGAAGCGATGCATCTGCGTAGAGATGAGTGCTGCACTCAGGCTCTGATAAATAGGTTCCTCCACAGACATTCGACTTCCGAGTCCACCATAGAAGATACAGTTTCAGACTGTCCGGTAACACGAAGGGGTCCAGACTGTTGAGATGGGCGCTCACGAACACTTGTAGTCTTCCTCTGCGAGTCATGTCTTGAGCTGACGTGAGAAGACCGAGTAGGCTCTGCCAACTTCGTAGTGGTAACGGAGAGAGTAGTGCTTGAGATATCATGTGTTGTATCTTGACCCAACGCTCCTCTGGGACGACTATGTGATTCGCCGACGTGATGAGCCGCATTCCTAGGAATTGAAGATCCCGTGTTGGTTCTAGTTCCGACTTGAGGAGATTTACTAGCCATCCTAGTTGAGTGAGAAGCCTGATGGTTAAGTCTTGTTGCAGTCTGAGTTGACTGAGTTGATCTTGATGAATTTGAATCCCGTCGTCCAGGTAAAACGCACTGCGTAGACCTCGATAATGTAGATATGTGATGATGGGCTTTGTCACTCGAGTAAGCAACCAGGGGACCAACGATATTCCAAATGGTAGCACTTTCCATTGGAAATGACGTCTGAAGAGGAATCGTAGGTATTTCCTTGAGTCCGGATAAATCGGGATGTGAAGATACGCATCCTGTAGATCAATGCTGGCGAGCTAGTCTAACAGACGAACGAGTTGTCGCAGCTGAGGAAGATGTATCATCCTGAACTTAGCGGGTCTGCATAGATAATCTTGGTTGAATTTCCTCATGTGGTAGATGAGTCGGAACTTTTCTTTGGAATGTTTCTTTGGTACTAGGAAGATTGGGGAATAAAAACTGGGCATGATGAGCTCCTGTTTTATCGCTTCGACTGCCTTTTTCACAAGTAGAGTTGTGATGGCATTGTGTAGTTTCTCCATCTGGTCGACATTGTGTAGTTTCTCCATCTGGTCGGCAGCGTAGATATGGGTCAGAGGGTTGCTTGTAAGTGATGGTACTGCTTGCAGTTGTATCTTGTATCCTCTGCGTACGATCTGGGATATGTAGTCGTCCTGAAGAATTCCCCAATTCTCCCAGTAGCGTTGCAGACGTCCACCCACTGTCGAAGGTTGTATGGGAACCCATCCATCAGCGTCTAAATCCTCTGGCACCTCTGGGTGCTCGGCCTCTTCCGGGGTTACACTGGCTAGTGTGTCGATGGACTTGATCATCATCACCTCCCTTGACTCTTTCGTAACTTCTTTGGCTACGTCATCAATTTCCCCTGCGAAGATGGATGATGCTGACCACGGAGCTCTGTACAACATCTTGGTGAACCGCTCACTCCAGTTGCAGGAAGACAGCAAACCTTGTCTTCTCAGGAGCGTCAGGCCTGCTGACGTGGATGCCAGATGTTCGGACATAAACTGATGATCCTTCTTTTGGGTCAGTAATGCAGAGTAAATCATCCGATCCTCTTCAGAGGTCGAGTTCCTGAACTTAGCGATGAGGGTTTCATTGATGGCTCTTGATCTGGCGAGACCAAAGAAGGTACGTCTAGTAGTTGTATCTAGTTGTGCCAGCTTCTTATCCTCTATCTTATAAGTCGGGAGTCGTTGGGGGTTTTGTAGTTCTCATCTCATCAATCCAAGATTTGATCTCTGTATCGGAGAATATGATTCCGCCATCATCTTCAGATCAAGTGGCCTCTCGGTCTGAAGATGGTCGCCGCTGTGAATCCCTTCCTGAAGAGCTGCCTGGAGATCTGCGTGGAGACCTGCCTGAAGACCTGCGCGCAGGTGACTGGTTGGGATAAGGTTCCTCCCTGGAGTCTTGAGGCGTATCTCTGCGCCTTCCAGAAGGTGTAGATTCTCTTCTACGGGATGAGGAGTGCCTGCGTGTGCAGGCACCTGATGGTTGTCCATATCTGAGGTCGAAGATGATCCTTGTGATCTGCTTCTGGAACATCTACAGCAGTCTCATCGTTATCAGGGCTGCCAGGTTCACGCAGGCTTCCTCCTTCACGCAGGCTTCTATCTTCAACAGGATGCGAAGTGCAGACTGCTTGTCCTTCGTGCAGGCTTGTCGTAGATGGGGTCTTCGCCGCAGCCTTCTGCACGAAGCTGCGTCCCATCTGCTCAGTGAACTGCTGCATGAAGATACCCGGGTTGAAGTTCTGCGACGACGGCTGCTGCTGCTGCAGAGATGACGACGCACCTGAGAGGGATGAGGCTTCTTCCAAGGAGCGCTGTACTTGTGAAGAACTGCTGTCTCTGGTACCTGATGTCTGTGTTGATAGATCATCTGTCTGTGCTGGCTGCTGATGTCGCTGTAGAAGAGGATCTCGTCTTCTTCTTAACTGCTACTTCAGGAATGAGGATAGGTGGAATGTCATACACGTCTACTTCGTCTGGAGGGATGATCTCTGCAGAGAAGGACCTCGTCTTCTGTGGTGCACCGTGGGAAGACTTCACCGAAGTCTTATCTGCAGTCGATGACCTGCAGACGATGCCCTGGTCTTCTTAGACTGAGATGAGGCTACTTCAGACGTTGACGATGTCTTCCTGGAACCGGAGCTCCCCTCTGGCACAGCAACATGCTCCGTAGTAGCGACCGGCAAACCACTGGAATGGTGAATATCAGCAGCAAACAATAAACGGTTATCAGCGCATTCACTCGGTTTAGACATGACTTGTAAATGCCTTCTAGACCAGTCCTTAGCACGTCTAAGAATGGATTATAAATAATTATTGAATTCAATTTCAGATAAATGCTGACAAAGTTGACAGCGAAAGCTGGTAGAACATGTAGGAGGACATAATAGATGAGGATCAGCAGCAGACAACCGGTACCTGCAACGAATGCAAGTTTTCATCAGTTGTAAACAAGATGAAATATCATGTCAACAACGTGAAAAAAACAGATTAATTAGACAAAAATTCAAACCATATTGCTGGTATATCTTCCTAAATGCCGTATACAGCTAAATTTTGCGGTAAAGGCTTAAAATTAAAAGGATATAGTGCCGTATAGGGGATCCAGGCGCTCTCACAACCGTCCTCTAGGGCGAAGAAGGAGAGAGTGACAAGCGATCATGTGGGCGATCATGTGACTGATTTAGGCGCCAAAACAGTAAAGGGAGGCAACCTTGGGTGAGTGATTTTACGTCCGCTTTTTTTAAGGGAGCTTCAAAAAGGGATTCAAGTGTTCCACTATCATTCGCAAGAAGGAGACAAGCAAAAAGCATGAGTCAGGATAAGGAAAAATTAATGCTTTCAACTTTTTCACTACAATAAGGATTACATCAAATATCTGGGTCACAACAAATCATCACAGTTACAGTTGATAATAACAGAACACAATACAAAAGTTGCATAATGATTGGATTAGCATTTGGAATAGCTGTATGTTTTAGTGAGTTTTACCTCACCTGTGGAATAAAATCACGGATGCGTATTTTAAAGTCTGTTATCATTTTTTAACATTTTTTTCTTAAAAAGAAAGAAAGCTAGAACTGGGACATAAATAATTAATCTGAAAGGTGAAAAGAATGAAGGGTGTCTGTGTTGCTTACCTTGTGGTTGTTGGGCTGGAAGCTGTGGAGGGGGCCAAAAAGGCATCCCTTGAAACATGGCTTGAACTGTTAAAGAACACACAACAAAGATAGTAAATCATCAAATGCAGCAGGTAAGAACCAAACAAAAGACATTAAAACAAATAGATAAAGATTCTCTGGCACTAGTCACATCCAAACATCTTAAATATCACAAGCCTTCATGATACATTAAACTTGGAGAAATGAGAACTAGCTAGTGGTTTAATTCTATCCCTGTCATACTTACAATTCTGCATCTGGACATCCTGCTCGGGTTGAGGTGGCCTGGCTGCAGGAGTTGGCTGTGGACGGGGCATTCGCAACACGTCCATCCTGCAGGTTGGGCAGGTCTGTTGTCGCTGGAACCAGGATCTCAGACAGTTGGTGTGGAAGATGTGATTACAAGGCAGTTTTTTGGAAGATGTAACCATCTCTTCTCGACAAATAATACACACATTGTCCCCAGCTTCTAGTTCCTCTGGAGTTGCATCTGGGTACCTTTTAAAAAGAATAGAACATTCAATCATAACATCAAAACCCTTAATGCTTTCGTACGGTTTTTTGCATGAAGTTAATGAAAAAGTCTAAGCTAAAAACATATGACAACGTAAAATACATCACTAAAATTTATTTGTGCCTAGTGGGCAAGTCATGAAATGAATGTACCTAACAAATATTCTTGGAGTAAGTGAAGGAGTTGGCATGGTTTTACAGTTTATAGCAATAGGCTACCTCACTGAAGCCCTAATCCTTGGCACACTGAGGACATTTAGATTTTGTTGGTTTGTTTGTTGTTCAAGGCCACACACAGCAATATCCAAGCTATATGGTGGCGTTCTGTAATTAAGCAAGTCTGGACTACACAATCCAGTGATCAACAGCATGAGCATGGATCTACACAATGGGGATGCGAGGAACCGATCTCGTCAGTTGCCTCTTACGACAAGTGTGGGCTACTGAAGATCAATTCTAACCCGGATCTTCATGGCTGAGTTTGAGGGAGTTCAGTTTTTACGCCACTTTCAGCATTATGTCAGCAACATTACGGCTGGGAACACCAGAAATTGTACCCATGTGGGGATTCAAACTCGGGTCTTCGGTATAAGAAGTGAAATCTTAAACCAATAGGCTATCCCATCGCCCCTAGAGGACAGTTAGAAGCTATGGAACAGTACACATAACAATAAACTTATATATTCTCAAAACACTTGTATCATGCAAACAGGAATGTATCACTTACAATGTGTTCATATTTCTTATGGCTCTCCGAGACATTATCACATCGTGAAACGCCTTCTTGAAAGACCTTAAACAAAGACATCCAATTTAATTAGGAAAACACTGAAACCTTTTCTCAGAGCAAAAATACAGATTTGCGTAATCACAGAGATAATTACCAATTTCAATGCATTTATGAGTAAATAGATCACAAGGTGTTGGAGTAAGTATTTACCTGAGTGAAAGGTACATCGGTCTGATGGCAAATAATGGGAAGGTGTGCACCTTAATCATAATTGCCATAAACACTATGTACAGCATGACTCGAATGAACCCTGAAACAAAGACAGAAACTTATCAAACCATGAAGAGATTCCAATTGAAGGCTGGAAACAGTGTTATTGCTTTTCCCCATCACAGAGTGAATGAGAATTTTGTTTGTTTATACAATGCCGTCATACGATTCCGTGGTACTTATGTTTCCGTGGTATTTTCTAATGACATTATTTCTCACGAGCCACTCACCAAATCGCGCCACCTATCGATTGTTTACATTCATCAGTCGATCGTCACGGCTCTGACCAAACAATGTTCAGACTTTCATCAATTTGTGTACGTACGTACAGTCATCCACTATTAAAAACTAATGCAACTTTATGTATAGCACGAAATGCACTTTTTGTGCAATCTTTACAAACATTTTCTATAAACTTATTAAGCTTCAAAGTTTTCCAAACCTCGCTCGTCTGCTAGCTTATGCAATCAATAAAAATAATCACGTGACCTAAGGGAGGAATCGCAGCTCTATTTTTTAAACTATGGAATCCTGATAGGGTCACTTCGCGTATCCCGTTGATGAACTCTTACATATTTTGTGAACTGTTAATTTATGCTGAAGAAATGTGACTATTGTGTTAATTTTATAAAATCGTTGACTGTATTACAATTTATCAACTTCGTTATTACTGTAAACCTACATTCACACTTCCGGATTGGCTGTTGACAACGTGTGAGATTGTGACATATGTTGTGCGCCCGTAATTTGATCTTAAGGGAATACCAAGGAAACATAAGACGTCACAAGAGTTTGTGCACAATGGCTGCCTGTCGTCGGATACGGACAAAATTGAACTTCAGAATGACAAAAGTGACATTAAATGATACAAAGGTATGTCGCCTAACACTATGTTATGTTTATATGACTTGACAATATCAGCGATCATATTCATAGTTGTAAATTTCTTAATACCATGGAAACCCATGACGCGAGGGTATAGTGACAATGAAATATATGAAGTTAACATCGATAAGCAAGAAATGTAAAATATACTTGCAGCAAGGGATGTAACTCCCAACTGCTGTCATATTTATGGCATCAAGTTTTAAACTCAAATTCCTAAGTAGCTCATTGTTAAACTTGCAAAGCCTTATTCATGTAGGTTCATTAGCTTCCGAGGAGACTTGTCCAGTACAACACCATGCACTAATTGAGCAAATATACTGATTCTGAGTTATGTTCTGGCAACAATTGTTACACGCATTAGTCTAATATGTTGCCAAGGAAACACACAAAAATAAATTCATCAATAGGCACCAGTTCAGCATGAGTTTGACAAATGTGCAAACTTTCATTATATAACAGTAAACAGTCTTTAAGTTATGATCTGTAAATGAAACATGATGGATAGAAAGAGAGAGTACCAAGTCCCATATCACCCTCCACTTCAGAGTGGCAGATATTAATATAGGTATACACATCATTAGTGCCTCTTCCTTAATACCAATAACTGAAAATTTTAGACCTCGTGCATATTATGTCCCCTAACTTTTATTACAAAGACACCAAACTAGCGTTTTAGCAATGTGGAGAATAATATTTCCACATTTCAATATGTTGGTTAGCATTTATTTATCATGACAGCAATAGTTTTGCTGGTTGACAAATTTAAGAGCAGAATTAATTTTGTGTTTGGTAACAATCCAGGTCTAATACCTGTATAATTACTTATCCCTGAATTTGTACGTACCCATGATAAGCTCTGTATATAAGAGATACACAGCTTTGTTCTCCCAAGGGTTCTCACTCTGTAGATCTACTGTGTGCAGTACGTATTTCATGAAGGTCATCAACACTACTGTCAGTAGGATTGCATACTGAAACAAGTCAGACATAACATTGGGTCAAACTAAAGCTCCAAGATCAAATTTTTCAGGGCTGTTCATAAAGTAGGAATGACAATGAAGCAAACGAGAAAACACGCGGATTAATCCAGATAGTGTGATTTCAAAATTCCTGCTGCATAAACATTTTCTTTATTGTTAAATGCCACTATATTGCAGTAATATAATTAATACCAAACAAATATTCTGAGATTAAAAACTTGCCAGGCACTGAAGTGAACCTAAATGCCATCTCAGAAGGACAACGTAAGAGGCAACCATTGGGATCGGGTGGTCAGGCTCACTGACTTGGTTGACACATTTCATCGGTTCCCAATTGTGCAGATCAATGCTCATGATGTTGATCACTGGATTGTCTGGTCCAGACTCGATTATTTGCAGACCACCGCCATATAGCTGGAATATTGCAGAGTGCGGCGTAAAATTAACCTCACTCACTCACTCAGAAGGACAAATATTTTATGATATTTAACCCCTTCCTGGATGAAAAACAGGATGGCCAACAGCACCCTTCTTTTATCATCCATCCACTACACAGCAGGGAAAAATAAAATGCCTCCACAAAACGTTTGAGATAAAATTTAAATGAATTTCTTCTTGCCTTATACTCATAAGACATCTACTGATCTAGGTACAGATAAGTCTAACAGCTATTAATGGGATGAGATATGTGAGCATACCTCAAATCCAAACACCAACTGCACAGATGCTCCCTTCAACAAGGTGCTGTAGTAAGCATGATTTATGAAGTAAACATCCAAAACACCAAGAAACGACAAAAGTGCTGAAACAAAATAAAACATCAATGATTGACGTTTCCATTTAAAGTTTACCAATCTCAAAGCCATTCAAGGTTACAGGAGTATATCCAGACCTGTTCAGGGGCCAAAACTCATCCCAAAGACAGCAGAATAAATCAGAAAAAATTCCCCCAAATCATATTAAAAATCTTCTAATTAATAGTAACATCTTTGGTAAGGGATCACTTTTATACTACTGACACTGGGATCAATGGAATGGCACTGATTAAAATTCCTTACTTCTACATCCCTGCACTGAATACAGTGTTAAAATACAATGCTGAAATTCTTATTAGTCCAGTAAGCTCAACGAATGATGGTCCATACTATGACAAAAATGTTTTGAACATGAAGCTAAAATGGACTCAATGACAAAAATTATTCGGCACAGATTGTAACAGTTGTGACACCATGATTGATACTTACATAATACTCGACAGTGAAACAATATAGATATTACAGGGCTTCTTTCCATCTGAAATGGAACATATTGCAATAAAATCAGATGTACAGAAAACATCAGTAAACATAACAATAATTCATAAATTTGAATATCAAGAATTTCATATGATTAAAAAGGAAAAACAAATTTACAAACAAAATTAAAACCAGAAATTGTCTACATTATTTTAATCAATAATTTCTATGACTTACATAATCAACCCTATCCTCTGCCAGCCAATGGAAGCACTTTAGAAACAAGAGTAAGGTAAACATGGCCACAAAACGTGGACTGAAGTCATCCCTGAACACTGTAAAGGCCAGGCAAGTTTCTGTGACAGCATACCAGGACCTCTCTATGAGATGCTGCAACATTAGAATGGCACAGTACACACATATGCACTAACAGTTAGGCTCAGAAAAGAAAATACTTCACAAACTCTCTTAAGACAAGATTGAGGAATACAATCCTTTAAATGTGTTAATGGAATCGAGGGATAGTTCTATTTTCAGAAAGAGAAGAAACCTATATTTGGCAAACATGCCAAAGTGTTGTAGATTTACTTGAACACTTTCAAATACTTTTGTACAGTCTGTACAGGAGACAATAAATAGACACATATTTTACTCCATTTTTATGCTTATCACCTACTTATCACTTAGACACCTAAACTGGGCATCAACATTTCTCTTTCTTACTATCTGGGTATATTTCCACCAAAAATACATATAAAAACCCTGCATCACCATAATGATAAATATATTTTCAGCAATGCAATGACAGTTGTAGTTCTGACCCAGCTTACACAAAGATTTATACATTGCTCCAGCCTTGCAGATAATTTACATCTTCAAAACAAACATGCTTCAAATTTATGCTTGAAGACAAGAGTTTGGAAACAGAAACATTTATACATACCTCCATTTCTGCTGCTCTTAGCTGACCGAAAAATATCTTTCTCATAAGTTTGCCCATGAGTATTACAAACACAAAGGCCTGAATGTAGAGCACCTGTAAAGAAACAAAACACATGATATAGGGTTCTAAATAAGATGACACATCAATTATTCAAAATATAATGGCTGGAGTGAGTGAGTGAGTATGGTTTAATGAAGCTTTTAGCAATTTCCAGCAATATCACAGCGGGGACACATGAAATTAACTTCACACATTGTACCTATGTGGAGAAATGACCTAGGTGTTCAGCATAATGAAAGAATACTTTAACATCTAAGCAATCCCACTGCCCAAAAGTGTCTTGGAGTCCTTACTACAGTATTCAAATGTAGCACTCCCTTAAATCAATGTAACTATGCAGAGCTCCAGATAAGATTTAGATTATGTGGGTACTGTACCCACTCTATCTTTTTGGAGTGGGTATTATGAATGTTGAGTGGGTATTTTATTTTCCGTTACCCACTGCTTTCAAATATGTGCGTATTTCAGTCATTTTACTCACCTAAGTGTTATGTCATTGAGTAAGTTTACTAAGCAGGTATGTTCTGCCTTATGTCATACCTAATCAAAACCAACTTAAATATAATGGAAATGATTTCATAAAAAATCGCTCATCCTATACTGACAGTACAACACTTGTCCTATACTAACAGTACAACTTGATAGCAATCGATGTCTTTTTCATTACGCAAACGCTTTTTATAATATATTTCGTACGCATTTGTTTTAAACTTGTTATGTGATCTAACATTTTAAACCAAATGAATTGGTAATGCTAACAATTATTTTTCAATGCATAATTGGAAATTTTATATGCGTATTTTACCCCGATACGCAGCTTATCTGGGCCTCTGACTATGTGATTATTAACATTAAGGCTAATGCAAGAATCTCATGACTTCGATTCTTAACTTTGAACTCAGCATATCAGAACTTGTGAAGTACTGTTTTCTCTTCATGTAGTCCTTGTCCATCACTAGTTTATACTGAATAACGCATAATGTTGTTGTACTTCTGCTAAAGTGCAGTATCATGAAACCTAAGAGAAAGCCAATATTGCCAAGTTATAGTAGTAATGAGTTCAGTTTTACGCCACACTCAGCAATATTCCAGCTATATGGCAGCAGTCTATAAATAATCAAGTCTGGACCAGACAATCCAGTGATCAACAACATGAGCATCAATCTACGCAATGGGGATAAGATGACATATGTCAGCCAAGTCAACGAGCCTGACCACCCGATCCCGTTTGTCGCCTTTTATGACAAGCATGGGCTACTGAAGACCAATTCTAACCTCGATCTTTCAGTTATAATAATTATCATGATTATCATCATTATGACATGTATCTCGGTGTTCACGAATGGTGTTTCAAAGTAATCATAGCACATGGGGTCCTGTAAGTTTCAGATGTCTGTCTGACCCACTGATAATTCACAGGACCCATAGAATAAAAACTAAACACACAGTTCAGATTTAACATTTCTTATATTATAATTGGCGTTGAAATTATTAACAAACGAAAATTTATAGACAGCTTAACAAGTGTGACACATATAACAACTTCAATCAAAGTCATTGTGAAATATACAGTCGGACACTGGATGCCGACGGTTGTAGACTTCTATCGGACTGTTGGTGAATCTGCGCGATTTGTCCTAAGGTCCAACGCTATTCATGAACACTGGATAGTATCTACATTCAGAACTTATCTATCCATGCAGAATATTACAGCAATATTTATCTCAGTTTCAGTATCAGTACTAGTAATAGTATAACATAGCTAGATGGACAAAGATCCCAACTGATACTTCCACAAAATGTCATATTTGTCTAAACGGCAGAATGTAATAGTTCATTATGCTGTTTCTATCAAGACTTCCCATAGAACATTGCTAGCTGGTCTGTAGCTCTGAAAAGAACAGAGCTCATGTGCCATATCAACGGTAAGCTATGGAGGCATATTTCAACACAGCTGCATGAACTCCTGCTATAACATCATGACAGTATACAGATACCATGAGTACAGAGTTAATGTACTGAATGTAGGTTTGCAAAACCTACAAAAGCACCCTCAAAAGTCCTAAAACACATGCTTTTTTAAGGGATAAATGTTCAGCTGTCTGTCACACAAACAAGAACATGGCCCTTTGTGTTTTGTTGTTGGTTTTCATAGGAGTAGAAATGGGATTGTACGCAGTAGGGTAGTCTGTCTCACAGTCCCTGAACCACATTATTTTCCCTACAGCCTAGCCTTCCCTGTAGTGCTAAAGCCCTAAACGAAGCAAGTCTAGATTTCCCTAGGTTCAGGTTCTGAATCTCTGGTCTCCCTAGGGCTCTTTTTCAATTTAAATGGGCTTGTTTGTTACTATCAAAATTATATATATTCAGAGACTAAGCCTTAGTCTAGCAGTAGGGCTGCAATGAAGCTACTTTGAGGTGAATACAATACATAGTTGGAATACAATGATTTACCCGATTTCCATAACACGCCACCAGCTGACGTTTCGGTCTTCATATTCAGTCAAATGATAACAAAATAAACAATGTGATATGTTTTGACCATGTTGACAGTGTTAACTTGTCCTGACAATGACATGTGACGACATTACTGACAAATTAAATAAAAGACAGAGTTGGTTATAATCAGTACACTGACTGAGATACCAGTCCATGTTTTATTCGAAATGACTGAGCACTAGACAGATAAACAAGGAGTACCATCTTTTAACATATTTTGGTAAATGCTGTCAGGCCACCAAACTTCCAATCTATCCATATGGAGACATACAGAGACAATACTTCTTTGAACTCAACAATATTTTGGTAAACTGTTTGGGCACTTTGAGTGGATGAATGGGGATTTGCACCACTGTAAGCAATATTAAAGCAACATTACGGGAGAGGACACTAGGAATGGGCTTCACACAATGTTGGCAATCAAACCCAGTCCTTCAGCATGGCAAGCGAATGCTTTAACCATGAGGCAACCCCACCACCCCTGGGCAAGTTGAGACACTAGGAATATTATGTTCACCACACAACTCAATCATTTCAAGGCAAAGACAAACATATGTTCTGTTATTATTCCTATATTGCTTGCTGTAGTCTGTACGAAAGGTGAATGTTGATTATATGAGTCAGCAATATTCCAGAAATTTCAAACATTTTCTATAATCATGATAGGTTTGTAAACAATTGAGCCTCAGGTAATTGTTAAATGATTTTCTGAAACTATGACCAAACATATTGAGTGAGATGGGTTTCAAATAGCATTTACATGATTTAGTGTTATTGCCACCAGACCAAGCTTGGGACACTAGAATGTGCTTCAAACCATGGTTGGGCTACTGTACCTGTTAATCAAATGTGGGCTTGTGAACAAACACTTTTACCACTAGACCACAACACCACCTCTGATACTACCCCATGTTCTGGGGATGAGACAGGAGAGCACAAGAAGTTGAATCAAAGGTTATTTCCGTGCATGTTAGCCACATCTCCTAACACCAAATCACCCTATTATGCTGATGTTCTTTTGAATTCGTGAACAATTTCTCTGGCCCATTGTGTTGACATTGTGAAATGTAATTTACAGGTCACATAATAGACACAAATAAGGTAATTGTGATGGATCCAAATGATTTTAAATCATACAAACTTGGGTAAAGAGAACGATCTAACTGTTTGTTGTGAAATCTGAAATCGAAAACATTCTGATTTTGGTTTTCCAGTCTTGTTTTCTTATTTACCAGGATTTGCACTCTGGTGCTTATATGGACCAAATTACGAACGAGTTAAATGAATCTCAAAAACGACCATGAACTAAAACAATCATGCTGGTATCATATTTCACATATTGTACCGGCAAGTGAGCAGACGATCATTTTGCCCCGGTAAGACTGCGTGTCAATGCCAAGGTGAAGTTTACATTTGGGTACGAGAAACTCACCGCCATACTCTCGGATTCGACTTGGTAATATACACCACGGAGGGATAAAACTGTTTCTTTTGATAGTATGCATTTCCTACAACGAAACCAGTTAGAGCAAAACTGGCCACTGTTAATACGAGGGACCGCATCTTGCAGTTACGACTGATTGTGTTCCTGTATCCGAGCTTTTGACGTCACCAACATGGCGGTGATTTAGGTCGATTAGTAGGCCAATGTGCTAAAAATAGCACTTGCTATTCGTGGCCTAACATCATTGGATTGGAGGGAAATAGCAGCACTTTTGGTTTTCAGTTAGTAGCCTTTACGCGTGTAGATATATATTGCATTATGTTTCCCAGCATATTCATAAATTACACCTTCATACTTTTTTTAATGAATATACACCCTTGTTTACAAACTGAAAAAAATAATCTTCTGGACACTATTAAAGAATTATTCAATAAATGATATTAAACGACAGGACAAGACTTTATTAATCGAAATATAAAAATTAACCTGAATGTGAGCTGCGAATTTGGAAGAAAGTATTTTATCTGTTTTTATATGATTTTTTTGGCACCTGGCATTATGACTGAAATATTTTTCATTTAAGTTTTGTTCTGAATCGTTGTTATAGTGATACGATCCATTGTGCTGTAGTAAACAGGTTTATATTAAATATTTTAGGGAGATCGGAGATTTCATAATTTGATTAAAAACGCTAACGTTCACGAATTTACACGTGTAAATTATTAAATTGAATGGCCACGTGATGTAAAACGTCACGTTGGTGCATTGTTTAGAACAATACTATATTGCGTCTTCATTGTTCTTGACGACATGAATGGATAATAATATGTCACAAAAACACTTAATTTGGGTTTTGTTTGTTATTATTTCCATACACCGCTTCCGTGGTGTAGTGGTTAGAGCGTCAGCTCGGAGAGCAAACAACGAAAAAGCCCTAAATGAAGTAAGATTCCGTCAGGTTTTAATCTGAAGCTCGTTTGGGCTCCTTTGGAATTTAAATGGAGTTATCTCTCTCGATCCAAATTATAAATTTTCAGAGACTAAGCGTTAGTCTATATGTATTGTACATTGAATTTCAATTAAGTTCGAGCGCTCGAGGGGACGGTGAGGTAGTTAAAGTGTTCGCTCGTCACAGTGAGTGAGTGTAGTTTTACACCTCTTTTAGCAATATTCCATCAATATCACGTGTGGGGAAACCAGGATCGATTCAGTATATAGGTACAATGTGTGACGTCCATTTCTGGTGTCCCCCGCCGTAATATTGCTAAAAGAGGCGTAAAACTAACCTACTCACTCATTCCCTCACTCACTCGAGCGCTCACGATAGGTGAGCCGCAATGTAGTTAAATAAATATGATACATCTTAATTAGGCTTCATAGGTTTCACCAGTTTTATATTCAACCAAATGGAACGTGCAAAATAATTAGTACACATTGGAAAGTACCTTTTTGTCAATTGTGACATATATGCAGACATGCTATTAATAGCAATGCGTGTTGACGCTTCATGCATCTTATGACGTGTGATTTACATCCACGAAGGTATGATGGCCACATTGACCCTCCGTATATCCTTTGACAAATGGTTGGATTGTAACAGACGCGATAACCAGGTAAATCTTAGTCAGCAGTTGACATTCATCCCGACATGTAGCCGCTTCACATGACGTCATCGGTATGTTGTGGTCAGCTGATGACATTCTTGCATACACATGGTTATCACACACGGTTCATCTTCTTTTCTGACAGACAGAAATAATTGTGTGTGTATCCTGTGTCTAGTGATCGTGGGTGTCAATTAAGTTACTTTCCAGGGGCGGATACAGCTTTTTGAGAAACGGGGGGTGCACACTCTTGAGAAAGAGGGGTGCACTCTTCATTTTCACCCGTTTTCACGAGAGGTTCAATAGCGATTCAATAAACTCTCTGGATCCGCCACTGCTTGCCATGTATCCCGAGTATAATGAACGATATATCTTCACCTGAGACAAATGGACCGTTGTCCATGTATATCCCCTGGTATGAAATCTTCACTTGAGACAGATTGTCAAGTATATTCTCTGGTATGAAATCTTCACTTGAGACAGATTGTAACGTATATCCCCTGGTATGAAATGTTTGTTTGAGACAGAATGTAACGTGTATTCCCTGGTATGAAATGTTTGTTTGAGACAGAGTGTCATGTATATCCCCTGGTATGAAATCTTCACTTGAGACAGATGGTCACGTATATTCCCAGGTATGAAATCTTCACTTGAGACAGATGGTCACGTATATTCCCTGGTATGAATTTTTTTTAGACAGATGGTCACGTATATTCCCTGGTATGAAATCTTCACTTGAGACAGATGGTCACGTATATTCCCTGGTATGAAATCTTCACTTGAGACAGATTGTCACGTATATTCCCTGGTATGAAATCTTCACTTGAGACAGATTGTCACGTATATTTCCTGGTATGAAATGTTTGTTTGAGACAGAATGTAACGTATATTCCCTGGTATGAAATGTTTGTTTGAGATAGAATGTCACGTATACTCCCTGGTATGAAATCTTTGTTTGAGACAGAATGTCACGTATATTTCCTGGTATGAAATGTTTGTTTGAGACAGAATGTAACGTGTATTCCCTGGTATGAAATCTTTGTTTGAGACAGAATGTCACGTATACTCCCTGGTATGAAATCTTTACTTGAGACAGATTGTCACGTATATTTCCTGGTATGAAATGTTTGTTTGAGACAGAATGTAACGTGTATTCCCTGGTATGAAATGTTTGTTTGAGACAGAATGTCACGTATACTCCCTGGTATGAAATCTTTACTTGAGACAGATTGTCACGTATATTTCCTGGTATGAAATGTTTGTTTGAGACAGAATGTAACGTGTATTCCCTGGTATGAAATCTTTGTTTGAGGCAGAATGTCACGTATACTCCCTGGTATGAAATCTTTGTTTGAGACAGAATGTCACGTATATTCCCTGGTATGAAATGTTTGTTTGAGACAAAATGTAACGTATATTCCCTGGTATGAAGTCTTCACTTGAGACAGATGGCCACGTATGTTCCATGATGTGAAATCTTTGTTTGAGACAGATTGTAACGTATATCCCCTGGTATGAAATGTTTGTTTGAGACAGAATGTAACGTATATTCCCTGGTATGAAATGTTTGTTTGAGACAGAATGTAACGTATATTCCCTGGTATGAAATCTTCCTTTGAGACAGAATGTAACGTATATTCCCTGGTATGAAGTCTTCACTTGAGACAGATGGTCACGTATATTCCCTGGTATGAATTCTTTTTAGACAGATGGTCACGTATATTCCCTGGTATGAAATCTTCACTTGAGACAGATGGTCACGTATATTCCCTGGTATGAAATCTTTACTTGAGACAGATTGTCACGTATATTTCCTGGTATGAAATGTTTGTTTGAGACAGAATGTAACGTATATTCCCTGGTATGAAATGTTCGTTTGAGATAGAATGTAACGTGTATTCCCTGGTATGAAATCTTTGTTTGAGACAGAATGTCACGTATACTCCCTGGTATGAAATCTTTGTTTGAGACAGAATGTCACGTATATTCCCTGGTATGAAATCTTCACTTGAGACAGATTGTCACGTATATTCCCTGGTATGAAATCTTCACTTGAGACAGATTGTCACGTATATTTCCTGGTATGAAATGTTTGTTTGAGACAGAATGTAACGTATATTCCCTGGTATGAAATGTTTGTTTGGGATAAAGAATGTCACATGTATACTCCTGGTATGAAATCTTTGTTTGAGAGACAGAATGTCGTATATTTCCTGGTATGAAGTGTTTGTTTGAGACATAATGTAACGTATTCCCTGGTATGAAATGTTTGTTTGAGACAGAATGTCACGTATACTCCTAGTATGAAATCTTTACTTGAGACAGATTGTCACGTATATTTCCTGGTATGAAATGTTTGTTTGAGACAGAATGTGTAACGTGTATTCCCAAGTATGAAGAAATCTTTGTTTGAGGCCAGAATGTCACGTATACTCCCTGGTATAGAAATCTTTGTTTGAGACAGAATGTCACGTATATTCCTAGTATGAAATGTTTGTTTGAGACAAAATGTAACGTATATTCCTGGTATGAAGTCTTCACTTGAGACAGATGGTCACGTATGTTCCATGATGTGAGAATCTTTGTTTGAGACAGATTGTAACGCATATATCCCTAGTATAGAAATGTTTGTTTGAGACAGAATGTAACGTATATTCCCTGGTATGAAATGTTTGTTTGAGACAGAATGTAACGTATATTCCCTGGTATGAAATCTTCCTTTGAGACAGAATGTAACGTATATTCCCTGGTATGAAGTCTTCACTTGAGACAGATGGTCACGTATATTCCCTGGTATGAATTCTTTTTAGACAGATGGTCACGTATATTCCCTGGTATGAAATCTTCACTTGAGACAGAATGTAACGTATATTCCCTGGTATGAAATCTTTACTTGAGACAGATTGTCACGTATATTTCCTGGTATGAAATGTTTGTTTGAGACAGAATGTAACGTATATTCCCTGGTATGAAATGTTCGTTTGAGATAGAATGTAACGTGTATTCCCTGGTATGAAATCTTTGTTTGAGACAGAATGTCACGTATACTCCCTGGTATGAAATCTTTGTTTGAGACAGAATGTCACGTATATTCCCTGGTATGAAATGTTTGTTTGAGACAAAATGTAACGTATATTCCCTGGTATGAAGTCTTCACTTGAGACAGATGGTCACATATGTTCCATGATGTGAAATCTTTGTTTGAGACAGATTGTAACGTATATTCCCTGGTATGAAATGTTTGTTTGAGACAGATTGTAACGTATATCCCATGGTATGAAATATTTGTTTGAGACAGATTGTAGCGTATATCCTGGTATGAAATGCTTGTTTAGAGGATAGGCTGTTAGCAATATATCCCTGGTATAGAAAATGTTTGTTTGGAGACAGATTGTAACATATATCCCTGGTATGAAATGTTTGTTTGGGACAGAATGTGGCATATATTCCCTGGTATGAAATGTTTGTTTGAGACAGAATGTAACGGTATATTCCCTGGTATAGAAGTCTTCACTTGAGACAGATGGTCACGTATGTTCCATGATGTG